ACCATCACTCTGGAACCGGAGTTGATCAACAAACTTCCGTCGTTCAAGAAGAGAGTCGACTGGTTCATCGAGAATCGATGCGATCTGGCAGAGAGAAACATGGCCAGTATCCGAAAGCGAGGAAAGGGCAACCGTATTCTGTTGTCCATCGTCAGCAAGGATAGATTGGAGAAGATCCTGAAGCGCATGCTTGACGAGGATGAGTTCTTCAGTGACCATGGTATTCGCTCCCTTTCCAAATACCACAAGGAGAACCCATTCTCCATGGATGTCAATGGCCAAAAATTCTGTGTTGGATATGTGCCAGGCGACTCAGATAGTGGTCTATTTGGCGGCAACAGTAACTGGAGAGGTCCCATCTGGCTCTGTGTCAACTTTTTGCTTGTAGAGTCTCTGCAGCGTTTCTTCCTCTTCTACGGACCAGACTTCCAGGTTGAATGCCCAACTGGCAGCGGCGATTACATGCATCTTGGCAAGGTAGCTGAAGAAATTCAACACCGTTTGCAGCATCTGTTCGCCCGTACCGACGACGGAAGACGTAGCATCAACGGTGGTGACGACCGCCTGGACTTTGATGAGCACTGGAAGGATTACCTCTGGTTCCATGAGTTCTTTGATGGTGACAATGGACGCGGCTTGGGAGCCACTCACCAATGTGGATGGACCGGACTCATTGCTCGCATGATCCACGATACTGGGTATGTTTTGAACGATCTTATAATTTATCGAGTTGCTAACAGCTGTATAGTGTCAACTGCCGCCTCCCTCACACTCCTCGCACACCTTCAATTGCTATGGGTCATTACTTTGACGATGTCTTCCATCGCAGTGCTGGAAATGGTGTCCCTCACAACGGCATGCCTCGCATCAGGCGTTCATCAACCGCTCGTTCCATCGGTGCCCGCAGTGACTTTGATGATGACGCCCATTCCGTTAGTGGCTCAGTCCACCTTGATGAGGACCGGGCTAGAGAGCGCAGCGAAGCCGATGCACACATGCACAGTTATGTCTCGGAAGAGCTTGAGAGGTACAAAGACGATACCAAGCAGAATTACGAGCATGATGATGAGTTTGAAACCAAGGCATAAGCGACTTAAGTTAGTTTGTCAAAGGGAAAGTCGGCGCTACAAAGAGAAGGAAGTAATAGGGCGTTATCAAAAAGCAAGAATTTCTCACTTGTGTCCTGTTGTAGAGCAACAGGGTGTCCTGAGTTTATGGGCTTAGACTTGTCATTCAGTTTTCCAAGTAGTCATGATACAATCAGAGGTACACTCTCATAAGATCTCACTCGCGACAAAACCCAATGACATCACTGCATCTGTCATAAACCACTCATCCGTAGTATTTATGAGTTATCCATATTCAAGATGAGGTCAGCCATTTATTAATGAACTCAAGCATCTCGTGAGAGCTCGTAATTCCGCTATGTCCGACACCAGAGTCGGATACCACAACAAAATAGTTCAGACTGAAAATCATCACGCTTGGAACAAAAGAATTCAATTGGGGAACTGCATGTATTGCACACCCTGGTCACACTCTCCTACACTATTTCTTTCCATCGACACTCTCCCCTTTCTTCTCCCCTAGCCGGGGGATACAAGAACTTTGGTTTCGGGAGGTTGTAACAAAAACAGGGGAAGAGAAACCCCCCTAGAAGCCGGCGGGCCACCTACTCATGAGAGAGGTAGTTTTGCGTGGTGATGAAACCCCACGAGACGAGGCAAAGGAGACACTAAATAGAATTTGTATACTATGGTGGTTTTACAGAGCGTCCGTGAGGAGCTTGTTCATCTTGGCGATGCGGGAAGAGACGCTCAGATCGATGGTTCGGTCGCCGATCTCGACAACGAGTCCACCAACAATCTCGGGGTTGACCTAGAAGAGGGGGGGTCAGGGGTTGCTGCGATGGTGCTGCTGTGATGAGACGTACCTCGTTGGTGACCTTGAGCTTCTGGCCCTGGCCAACGTAGGCGGACTTGGAGACAGCAGCCTCCAATCGGTTGAGTGTTCGCTTGTCAAGAGCCTAATGACGACAATGTTAGTCGACTGTTCTCTTGTTTTCCTTCCATCCTTTCCATCCAATGATGTCGCGGTCGAGTATAGCTTGCTGTGACGTAGCTCGTGCATCCAATTCATATCCCTCTTCCATCTGCTATATCCCCAAACGTACCTGAGCGCTGGTAACAGTGAGCTCGACCTCACCACGGGCGGCAGAGATGATGGTAGAGAACTTCTCAACAACACCGGGAATGAGGCCCAGTCGGTTGTTCTCGGCGAGGGTGGCGAGGAAGTTCTTGACGGTCTCGTCCTTGGCGTTGATCTGCTTTGTGAGCTCATCAACGATAGCCTTCTTGTCGGCCTCGGCGAGGGTAGGGGCGTTCAGGACGGCGGCGAGCTTGGGGTCCTTCTCGAGGAGAGCGCCGAGCTTGTTGAGGGCATCGGCAGCGGTATCGACGCTGGAAGACTTGACGGCGGCAGTGTACTAAATTGACGCAAAAGAAAAAATTGCGTGTCAGCGACGGCGCGATCTCCAATTGAGGTTTTTGTGTCATGACGAGGGGTCAGTCAATTGGTCCCGGGGAAGCCAATTGACATACGGAAGGTCGAAACAAGACGGTGCGTATTTTTGTTCTTTCATTGGAGGTGGTGTATTACCAGAGCAGTAGCATAGGTGCCATCAACGCCGAAGACGGAAATCGGGGGCTTGACTTCGGACGAGGCAGCGGCGGCGAAGGATCGGACGGGGGCGGCTCGGAGGGCGAGGGCTCGCTGGGGAGCGCCGACTCGGGCGGCGCGGATGACCTGTCGCGAGAACATTTCGGCGGCTGCTGGTGAGAAGGAGGAGGAAGAGGGAGATGGAGAAAGGGCGAGTGTGATGATGTTCGGCTTCGATTAACTTGGAGGTTGTTGCTAGCCTGGGCTCTCGGCAATTTTCGGGCGCTCGATGCCTTACACCCGCCCAGGCATCCACTTATGATTACATAACTCATTCAAGATAATTGCAGCAAGTAACAATAGGAATTAACACAAGCAATTTCAAATACGTTGAGCACTTCAAGTAGGTATTCGCATAATGTGTTCTCTTTTTTCCTTTGAGGTTCATTTTTATGATTGCGTGTGCAGTCTCGAGTTCTTAAACTAAGCGAACCAAACTGCACGAAACAGCTAATGGCTGTTCCCTATCATCAATGTCATACAGTCAAACAGCTTCCTATGCTCCAAAACCCTGTCCTTCAAACGCCCAAAACTCCTTGTTGCTAAGTCTCAAAGCTCAGTACTCTCACTCTCAAGCTTCTCCTAGTCGCTCTTGAGCATGCTGTCGACCAGGTCGCCCAGAGGACCCCAGTAATCCCTTCCACTCGCCAAGCTGTGCTCATCAACAAACAGCACGTATTGCTTGAAACTTGTGTTCAGGTGCGGCTCAAGACCAAGCTCACGAATTACGGGGTAGTGGTGGCAGTAAATATGAGCGTAGACACGGTACATGCGCTTGAAGATCTGGCGGACCAGCGCCGGGAAAGACTTGGGGAAGGGGACACCTTATGATTGTTAGCAACAATTCCGAGGATACGGGCATATTACAATGCATACCAATTTTGCTGGGCAATACTTGTTCGTTGTCGATGTTTGATTGCACCCACGTCATGAGTTGTTCAATATACGCTGGTGCAGGCATCTTAGTTGGACGCTTGTAGTTCTCGTTGTCTTGCCAGAGATACTCGAACCTAATTTCTGTCAGCTTGCGATAAGTCAACGGTCCTCAGAGAAACCTACTCGTCGGTGGCTTTCATCTCAGGGCATGATTGTGGCGAGCAGAACTCGGTGATGGCTCCGTAGAGAAGGTTGATCTGGTTGTAGAAATCCACCACTGAAAGTCATAGTTAGCAAAACCCAGCGAATACATAACCACGTCAAACTCACTGTTGACAGCCAACCACTCATTCTCGTCCTCGCCTTCTGGGAGCTTGACGACTTTGCGCAGACTGCCACCGCCCAGTGTCACTTCGGCATACTGTCGCAGCTGATAACTGGCCGATCCTCCCTTGCCCGCGCGAGGGCGAAATTGGTTTCTCGTTCGCTGGTTACTATTCACCAAAGGCTCCAAGTCAGTAAATGGCACTTCATCTAAGAAGGGCAAGGGTGCCGCAGATAATGCGACAGTCATGATGGTCATGTCCATCTGAGGCATCGTCGAGAGCGACTTCGGACTTAGATATCGGAAGAAGGTGGCGGTGTGCGGCGAGTACGGGGTCTCAGGATTGTGCTCCTCGAGAGGAAGATAGGAGGACTAACACAGTGGTTAAGAAGGCTTGAGCCATGGTGAACAGCGATGGTGACGAGGTTTCAAGGAGGTCGAGATGTGATGCTGCTACATTCCAGCGGTTAGCGGGGCAATCTGTCCATGGGGGTTATTCGAGGGGAGAACGAACAAGACTGGTAGGTGAGACAGAGTCTTGTAAATTTCAAATGCGAATATGTAGATACGATATCGCCTAATATCACTGCTAGGCTCGTGTTTTGCGAACGTGTTTTGGTAAGGAGGCTGCGGCTGGACCTTGTTGTTGAGGTTGATAGGTAAAGGTGCCCGGGCAGTACAGTAGTAACGATGGCGTATGGGCGTTGCACTGTTTACTCTATTTCCTGATTGGTGTGGTTGCTACGGAGCTCTAACCCCACCAAGCTATACTGTACTGCATGAACAGAGCTGAGCGGCTCATCTGAATTGAATTTAATACTTCAATAGTTCCTAATTATCGCAAACTTTAATTTCTAACGTATCTGTCTATTTTACTGAATCAAAACAGAGCTGAATACTGTTTACATGTCTGATATCAAGTGGCACTACGGATAATAACATAGACATAAAAATACCCATTCCTTTGACATGGGAGCTTCTTGTATGAAAGGTGGTCTATAAAACTAGTGTAATAGTTGCCATGATAAAATTCTAAGAACTTCACAACAACTAGCTATCGACTGAACATTGTCTACAGCCATTACCAGCGACCCCCACGACCTCTGCCCCTGCCTCGTCCTCTTCCGCCTCCCCTACCTCTTCCTTGACCACCGCCTCTCCTCCCACCAGTGAACCTTTGATCTGTTTTAGGTGGTCCCTGTGCTTTCCGTTGGCGTCTCTCTTGTTCAGTGGCATCCCATATATTCGATAGCCCCATCATTTCGCAAAAGGTTGTGGTCTGTGGGTTTGTGTACTCCGCTGGCTGCTCATTGACAATCTCAGGAGTACCAGGAACATAAGGTGGCGCAGTGATCTCGAAATTGTACGGCACATCTAACTTTCCAGCCTTAACAACATTTTCTTCGACCCATTCTCTTTCCTTCTCGATAAGGGGCAGATAATGCTCTTCGCCCTTATCAGGCGGTGTTTGTGCATCCCGGTCACCGAAGACCAAGGAATCATGGAAGACTCGAGTAATCGCAAGCCACTCTGGGTCGTATTGTAGTCGCCATCTTGGCGACTCTTTAGCTGGAGGATATTTAGAGCTTGTTTCTGGGTCAAAAGGTTGGAGTTCACAGAGCTGTAGAAAATGTCGTCCCGGTAGGCATTTATCGAGAGCAAGGAATCGGACCTCCTTGTTCGTGATGCCAGGCGGTACGGGTTGACCAGGTGTCTTCTTAGGCTGTGGACGAGCGAAAGATGCGGGTAACTGTGCCCTAAGCTCCTCCGATACTTCGTTGGATGTTTCTGAGGTCTCTTTGGTTTCAGGCTCGCTCTTTATGACCTCTGGTTCTGCCTTGGGCTTAGTGTCCTCTTCGTCGTCATCATCATCCATATCCAAATCAATCTCATCGGGATTGGTTTCCGTAGCCGGCGCAGGAGTGACTACAGGAGCAACATCTGGTTTGATCTCTTCCACTTCAGGTTGGGTGTCCTCGTATATCTTGATCGCAGCGAACTTGACATGCATATGGGCCGAAAACCAATGAGGAGGTCGCAGACGGTCCATGACATACTCAGCTGCCACACTACCGAGTGTACCGTCTCGAGATTCATTTTTGAAATCAGGCTTCTTCTTGAACAACCAACCATGGTCCCCATGTCGTTCGACTGCGCGTGGCCAGTCGTGACTGAGGCCGACGTCCACTTGCGTCTGGACTTGAAGCAGTTTGCGGACGTCAATCTCCCTAACATGGTACCACGACTTTACATCGTCGCCACTGAATGGTAGTCGTTCGTGATGTGGTTTCCGGTAATCGAAGCCTTTCCATATACCGGATAGTCCAGCAATACGCAATGGACCGAAACGCAGGATGTTGGCAGCACCCATGTAGTAGATGTTAGGCGCAACCCAGCCTCCGTAGTAGAGCTCCCATAAATGTGAGCTGGCTTCATGGTTTCCAGCAATGAATATTGTCGGATAAGGTGCCTTTCTCTCACCAGAGTAGTACTTGGGAAAGTCTCCTAAGTGGCGGTATTTGACAGGGCAAGACATAATGGTCAAATCCTCAGCATTGCGGACAGACTGTGACCGTGCATGTTAGCCCAAGTGAGCCGATGATGGATGTATGTAGGGGTTCAAATACCTGAAAGTCACCGCCGATGATGAGGATATCGACACCGTCCCAACCTCGTTGCTTACAAGATTCTTCGACAGAGGCGTAGATGGCATCTAGTGTGCCATGGCCCTATGTTTTTTTTAGTAAATAATAACAATGAGTTGGATGACTTTTGACTCACGCATCCTTCAACAGCTACTCGGACGCCTTGCGTCTCGAATGTGTTGGTTGCCATCTTTTGGGCCAGGTACCTATTGAAGTGGTTGTGGTTGTGGTTGTAATTGGAAAGTTGAGGCTAGTGGGTTCACAAGCAGAAGCTGGTTTCCTTTATGGGTAAAAAACCACTGACGGTGAACCACTCTATTGACTGACACGGCAGGTAGCCCCCAAGAGAGACGTTTCCTGCCTAAAACCTGATGACTCAATTATCTAATTGAAAAGGCCTACCGAGACATGCAAGTCGTCAGGACCCTCAATTGGAGTCATTCGATGCTAATTTTGCTTCTTGGCCTGATGACTGTGCTCAGATTCGTCTCACCTTTTGAAGATGTTCAGCGGGTATCGAGGATAAATACACATGGCTTCCCTGCCTAATAATGATAATCCATAAAGTAATGGCAATTCTTTATTTAAGCCATGGCCTCCAAGTGACAATGCTCAACTTGATAAACAGTATCCTTGCCGTAGATCCAGTCAGGACGTTGAGTGCACTGGCTACTGGATGGTTGGTATGCACTGACTTAACAGTCTCATTAAGACGCTTGGAATAGTGGCATGAACCGTTTAATAAATTTGAGATCACGAGCATGGATACAAGGGGTAGATACAAGATGCATATTTACAGTCAAGAGATGTTGCCCTTCAGAAAAAGCGAAAGCTCAATGCGTCAACTGAGTCACGCAGAGTGAGAGGGTTACTTTAATCTTCCAAATCTAATAGACGTTCGACCCACGGAGGAGTGAAGAGAAGAACGCATATGCTGAGATGGTGTGACGAGTCACGTAGGTATAAGTATGTTTGGATCTGGAATCGTTAATCTAGATCATGTTTCTGGCTTGACTTGTGCCAATAGCCGCTAGTATTGGTCATTATCATTATTCAAAGAACAAAGACAAACTGCTAGATCTTGCGAAAGCAGCAGCAAGCTGGACTGTATCCTTAGCTCCGAAAACGCCGTCATAAAAAGATTTTGTACACATAGCAAGACGTGCAAGAGTGGGACAGATTTCGGAAGAATTCTGGAACTCTTTTCACTTCATGCTCATATTCGCCCTAGATGATATTAGTATCAAAGCGTTGGGTTGTAGCAATGGCTGCATACTGGTCCAGGCCCAGGTAATCCGCGGCGGCCAACAGCTCAAGGCAAAGCTCGACCGGAATATCCATGTCGGGAACGTCTTCGCTGTTGCGGTAGCGGTACCAGTAGTGGAAGTATTCGACAACCTTATCAAGGACCATGGCGCTGTTGATATATTTACCATCAGCGTCTTGCTCTTTCACACGTGGATTGTTCCAGCAGAGACTGAGCACAACCAGGCTTGCTTGGTGCGTTTGTGGTCAGGTCAAGTGTAGTGAGTACTCATGTAGCCCAACCGAGAAAGTCTCGGATGTTCTCTCAAAAAAGCATCGTGAATTGTCATCAATCCACAGAGCAAGCCATCTGGAGGCGACAGCGTGTTGGCAATGACGACCTACCTCATCTCCTGAAAAACACAACGAGCCTCTTTGGCCTCAGCAAATTGACTCCTCACGTCGAGCATTCCCTTGATGATGGGGCTGACCAGAGCAGCGTCGCGGAGGACGACGAACTCGAAGCCATCGCCAGAGACGAGAGTGATGTATTTGCTGGGTGCTTGGGCATTCATTGCTCCTGAGGTCTTTTCTTTACCGGTGACGGCTTGTGTTGTGTTGTTGTGTAGGATGAAGAAGAGAGAAAGGAAAGGAAGCAGAAGGGCAATTTGTTGGGAAAGCTCTGAAGAAAAAGACAGAGAGTCTGGATGGGGACGAGAATGGAGAAGAGACGAGCTTGGACCAGGTCAGTCACGATAAGAGGACAAAGGAAAAGGGAACTTCCATGGCTTGGAACCGGCTACCTAAAGGCCCTGGACCAAGGAAATTTTCTCGTCAGCAGGTGCACGGACCAATCAGTGCCGTCATTTTCAGCTCCAGCGATTCACCTCCAGAGTCCACGGGTGGGCTAGGCTAGGTCAGGTACAGGTACAGGTAACTGCCCGCTACTGCCCGCAACCACTGTAGCCTCCACCCTCCCCCAATGACAGTTGCCCTGTCAACATGTTTACTCGGGTAACTTGGTGGTGCAACAAGGCCACACTAAGACCCGACTTGACTCCCCATAGTCCTTCCGCTTGTTGGACTTGACCAAGTAGTTTAAACTTGCCGCAAACAACACAACCTACCTAACTTATTAACTCAACCCAAGACAAGTCGAGACAAAACTATCATCCATCCATCCATCACTCAACCACATTGAGCCTCATTAGCTCCAGCATTCCAACTCAATTCGCGTCGCATTAGCTTCAGCTTCCTATTCCACTCTTCTCCCGTATACACATATCGCATCAGGGCACTCGATAGCATTATCCTCTCACACCCCGCATCAACAACACACGAGCACTATAGTTCCGACAACTTAGGCGTATCTCAAACAAGGTCACCTTTCCACTCATCGACCTACTGCACACTAAAGGCAGAGCGATTCTAAACAGACTCGCGCTCGCACCCCGCGACTCACTCTACAGCCTTGCGCCCAAGCATGGCATCATCTCACCAGTACCGCAACTCTTACTTTGACACCAACGAACAGTTCCGACGTCAAGAGCGCACTCGTTCCAGCGAGGGTACCGTCAGCACCACTATGAGCTCGTCGACGGGCCGCGAGTCGGCAGCGACTCACGTCACAGACGCGCCCACCTTTTCCAAGAAGATTGTTGTTGTCGGTGATGGTGGCTGTGGCAAGACCTGCTTGCTCATCAGCTATAGTCAGGGTTATTTCCCAGAGGTAAGCGACCCCTGGCGACCGCTACTGTTGGGCATCAATATTAACGAGACAGAAATACGTGCCAACCGTCTTTGAGAACTACATCACCTATCCTATCCACTCTGCCACCGGTAAGACGGTGGAGCTTGCATTGTGGGATACTGCCGGTCAAGAGGAATACGACCGTCTTCGACCTCTCTCATACCCCGAGACCGATCTTATCTTTGTATGCTTCGCTATCGATTGTCCGAACTCTCTCGACAATGTCCTCGATAAGGTATGTGACCTTCGCCATCTCTCAGTTTTACGACATGCTAATTATTTTTCACCAGTGGTACCCAGAGGTTCTACACTTTTGCCCATACACTCCTCTCGTTCTCGTTGGTCTCAAATCAGATCTTCGCTACAAGAAGACCTGTATTGATATGCTCAAGACACAAGGCCTTACCCCGGTTACTACTGAGCAGGGCATGGCGTTGGCTAAGAAGATGAACGCACAGTACATGGAGTGCAGTAGTAAGGAGATGCGAGGTGTCGACGAGATCTTTGAGCAGGCCATCAACACTGTTGTTGCCAACGATCGGAAAACAATCGAGGCCGCAGCAGCCTCGGGCTCTTCCAAGGAGGGAAAGACATCATCAACACCCGGGGTGGGGCAAATTAAGAGGAAGAAGAGAAGGTGTCCAATCCTCTAAGGCACCCACGACTGGAGATGGATGAATGAATGTTTTCTTGGATTTGAGGAACTTTCCTACTCATCAATGTCTTCCCATCTCTCTTGTCATCTTCTCCTGGGGAGAGGAGACCGGGAGGGGTAGCAAGAAAGGCAGCTCGGTGGGCCAGCATTAAAAGAGTTGTAATGACCATCGCATGAATACTGTTTTTATAACGATTTACACTTACGTTATTTCTTTACCTTCATTGCTGTTTTAACACTGGTAGGATTTTCCGGTAAGCAACAGGCCGAAGAGACGACATCGCGGGCGTTGCTGGGAAACACTTCCCTCCATTACCTATCTACCTACTTAGGAGATGTATCTCTACGGCATTGGGGATATAGTTTTGGGATTGAAAGTATGGCATGGCATGGGAGGAAGCGCGCACATTTGATTTTGAAAGTGTCTTATAAGATAGGGGAGCAACCAGAACTACAGGCCTGTTTCTATATGTATTGCATCATCGGCATCAAGCAGGGTCGAGGTGCCAGGTGTTTTGTTGGCCTTTCTTTTGTTAGTGTTTCTGGCGTGGTTTTATTGAGCTGATAGGATTGTTGGAATAAAGATTTAACAAGTAATATTGTGTGCCCGTCCTGTGATATCATTGTGATTAAGAGTAGAACTGTCTGTCGCATGAAGAGAAAGGAACCCTCAGTTTAGTTATATAGTACCGGAGTCACTCATGCATCGCGACGAATTATTTCAACGTATTCTATACTCGACTTTCTGGATTCATCGTCATCATAGCTGAGTTACCAGCATAGGTATTCATTTCTACCTCATGGCTCCTAGGTGTCATGAGTGACACCCTTCAGCTGCCTCATATCTTCCGCTTTCTTCCACTGTTATACACGTACGTCTTATTTTATGTACAAATGTCCCAACTCTCTTGAAACTTTTCTTCTCCTAACCAAGCACCTAACCATCATACAAGTTGAAAAAAAAATGACCATCATGAGGGGAGCATTATACAAGGAACCAACGCCAACCGATAACCGAGTTTAATAGTACACGCGTGATGCGAATTGTGCAAGGATGATGTGACCGACACATCACCTCTCATATTAGAGTCGAGATATGCGTTTATTTGTTCTTGACGACACCGACCTTGGCGGCGCGCAGCACCCGACCATTAAGCTTGAAGCCCTTCTGTTGAACGAAGAAGACGGTGCCGTCCTCCTTATCAGGCTGGGGAGTCATGAAAGTAGCCTCCTGCTCGTTGGGGTTAAACTTCTCGCCCTCAGGGTTAAGACGCTCGAGACCGTGCTTCTTAAGGGTGTTCATGAGAATGTCCTCGGTCATCTTAAGACCTTCGTACAGGTTGGCGAGATCCTCGAGGTGCTCAGGTCGGTCCTTGGCGTTGAGCTTCTCCTGAGGAACCATTCCAAGGGCGCGATCGAGGTTGTCGACGCTGTCGACAAGGTCCTTGGCGAACTTCTGAATAGCGAAATCCTTGGCAGACTTGACCTCACGAGTAGTGCGCTCTTGAAGGTTGCGGAAGTCGGCGACAGTGCGCAGGCACTTGTCCTACAAGATAATCAGTATTGTCAAAACAATTTGAGGCTTTTTGATCGCCACATACCTTCCAGTCCTTGACCTCGATGTCCCTGGCCTGAAGAGTCTTCTTGAGCTGAGCGACCTCATCGTTTTCGCCTTCCGCGGGCTTCTCTTCAGACTTGGCTTCCGACTTGGCCTCCTCGGTAGGCTTGGCCTCAGACTCCTTGGCGTCGCTGTACCATCTCGACACGGCGGGCTGGGCGGATCTGAAAGTGAAAGCAGGCGCAGCCTGGAATTGCGACTGAATGAAAGGTCGGGGGACGGCGACCTTGGGAGCAGCTCGCAGAGCGCGGGACGAGGTGGCAATGGCCTGGCGGAACATTGTGAAGTATATGGGGAAATAAATTAAAGATGTATGGAGGGGAGGAGAGTATGTGACGAGTGAAGGTTTAGTGAGGAGAGGCTGGTGCACTTAAGTAAAGTGTGCAATGGCTTATGGTAGGTGGACTATCAGGAAGTTTAGAGCTCCGAGTTAGGACTGAAATTTTAAGCTGTCGGCATGATTCGCTTCTCGCATGTCGAAGGGTCGCGCCGGCTACTGTTCCGGGGACGGGAAGCTTCCATGAGCGCTGGAAACCCCCACTTTAGCAGGGCATGATGATCTAGGGTAGCCGCGGATCAATGAAAGCCCGCTGTTGTATCATCGACCCAATTGACGTTTCCTTGAGGCTGTGGAGGCCCACTGTTTTGCTGGTCTACGTCGTGCTCTGGCAACCTGGAGGCTAAGGTAAGGTAGCTACAGTTATTGCTATCCATTTGCTTCAAGTCCACCCTCAACCAAACAAGTTCATCATAACAACTACTATCATTCACCGAATCAGCGCTTTCCCCCCGTCCGCATAGCGCATACAATTCTTCATACGAATCCCCCCGACAAAGAAAACCACATACTTCACAATGGCGGCGGCCGAATCGGCGAAGGTCCAGGAAGCGCAGAAGCTCGCCAAGTCCGACCCACGAAAGGCTGAGGCCATCTACAAGGACATTATCTCCAAGGCTCCTAGCACCACATCTGATGCCGCTACTCGCGAGTATGAGTCTGCGTTGATCAGCCTAGGAGAGATCTACCGAGATGAGAAGTGCGCACCGCTTCACGACCGCTTCTCCTGTGCCCCGCTAACAATTACAATAGGAAAACGCAAGAATTGGTGAACTTGGTTAAGGAGAGCCGGACAGTGTTCTCTTCGTTTGCAAAGGCCAAATCGGCCAAGTTGGGTATGTCTTGAAAACCACATAATCTTGCGCCCATGCATCGCAGTCAGCTAACATGGTGACGTAGTCCGCCAACTGCTCGATCTCATCAAGGAAATCCCCGACAGTACCGATATCGAAATCTCCGTTACCAAGGACTGCATAGAATGGGCAACCGCTGAGCGACGCGCGTTTCAGCGACAGGACCTCGAGGTCCGCCTTGTTGCCCTCCAAATGGCCAAGCAATCCTACTATGAAGCTCTCGGCTTGATCAACAACCTCCTCCGCGAGCTCAAGCGCCTTGACGACAAGCTCCGTCTCGTGGAAGTCCAGCTTCTTGAATCAAGAGTTTACCACGCCCTCGGCAACATTCCCAAGTCCCGCGCTGCACTGACCAGTGCACGAACCAGCGCCGCCAGCGTATACACCCCTCCTATGCTACAAGCCAACCTCGATATGCAAAGTGGTATGCTTCATGCTGAGGATAAGGACTTCAACACCGCTTTCTCTTACTTCATCGAGGCTCTCGATGGCTACCACTCCCAAGATGAGAGCACCAGAGCTCAGGCTGCACTGCAATACATGCTCCTTTGCAAGATCATGCTTAACCTGGTAGACGATGTCAACAACCTTATGACCTCGAAGCAAGCACTCAAGTACGCCGGCAAAAACCTCGAAGCTATGAAGGCCATTGCTCGCGCCCACTCGAACCGATCACTAGAGGAATATGAGCGTGCACTTTCTTCCTACCGCTACGAGCTTGGTAGCGACGCTTTCATTCGTAACCACCTTCGTCGCCTCTACGACGCCATGTTGGAGCAGAACCTTATCAAGGTTATTGAGCCTTTCTCGCGGGTAGAGATCGACCATATCGCCAAGATGGTTGGGCTCGACACTCAGCAAGTTGAGCGAAAGCTCTCCCAGATGATCTTGGACAAGGTTATTATTGGTGTTTTGGACCAGGGCGCTGGCTGCCTCATCATCTTTGACGAGACTCACCGAGATGAGTCGTACGATGCGGCTCTTGCAACCATCGAGAAGTTGAGCAGCGTTGTGGATGTTTTGTACACAAACCAGGCGTCTATGCTGGAATAGATTAGGCCACCCGTTGTATGTAATATGTCACAGTATCTTAGACTAGGCGTTTCAAGAGGGAACACGATCGTCTATTCTGATTAATGCTTGTTTTTGTTCATTGTTGTATAATACTGTGCCTGTGACTCCTAATGAATGACCCAAACCTATACAGACAATGCCTCAACCAGTAAAAGGGTATTGAATGAGCTAACATGGCGTGAAAAAAGTACAAACGATGGTTCGTATCTGGTATCTCCAAACGACAATAACCTAACCTAGGTAGTCATGAAACAAAACGCCTCATGAATGCTAAATATGCCATACTTCGTAACTCAATGCAAAAAGAAAACATGTGACAGAGGGATAATCTCCGCATAGTTTAGTGGAACATAACTCGTCCAGTTCCGGAAGAAGCCTCTTGACTTCTCCTCCGCTCGCCCAGAATCAGGGCGAACAATCGCTTGGCCAGAGCCCCCTCATCCCAGCCGCCGACTTGGGTCTTGAAGGCATCGACGCAGTCCAGGTGCCAACGCTCCAGCGTCATGGCCTCTCCCTGGCTGCGAACCATCTTTCCAAGATACTTGTCCGAGCAACGCTCGTAATATGTGATAAAAGGGCCTTGGCGACGCTCTTGAAGCAGATCATCGAGCAGAAGCCAATGTTTTCGGGTCCAGACCGTCTGTGACAGAGGTTCGGGACGTGTTTGTTTTATAGGTAGTCCCGAATTAGACACAGGGTTTTCAAAAGTGTTGTTTTCTTTGTTGGTAGTTTGGCGAGGCGGTAGTCTCACACGCGGCCGTTGAGCACCGTTGCTAGCCTGCGATCCTGCCGAAGAGTTTGAGAGTCGGCGTTGATGGCGGACCTTGGCCTGCTCAATAGGAGAGAGGACGCTGCTCGTAAACTCGACCACACGACCAGGAGTATGAGGTTTAAGTGGAGAACGTAGACTTGATTTAGTAGGAGAGGCGTTTCTCGGGGGCAATGGTCGGAGAAGCGGGCGGGGAGCAGGGCGAGGAGCAGGTTTAGCTGGGGTTGGTTCCGGAGAGTCATCACTGGCATTGGATGTCTCTTGTGTCCATCTGTGAATATCGGCGTGAGAGAGCTGCATCCGCGGTGGAGTGGGTGCTCCGGTAGTAGGAATAGACTCCTGCTCAGGTTCGGGTTCAGGGACAGTATTTTGAGTTGATGCCTTGAAGAAGGACTGATTGAGCCGTCGACGTTCAGGTGTAAAATTCGCTTTCCGAGGCACTGAGGGCAGCTCAGTAGGCTGAACTTCCATCTCATCATCAACTTCCGCCTCCGCGTCATCCTCCTCTAGCTCTTCCTCCTCAGTATCATCCTCCTGTTCCCTCTCTTCTGGTTGTTCAGATATTTCCTGCATCGATACGTCGTGCTCTTCATGTGCTGAAGATGCCTCCGAACGGTGAGCTGGGGACGACTGATTAGACTGAGAATATGTCTCTTCTTCGGAGTGTTCAGAGGGTTCTCGTCTCGATGCGGGTTGAGCTGGGCGGACGGGTGAGAAGAAACCAAGCCTTGGCTGCCCTCGAGGCGCAAGCTCTTGTTGGGGGATTTGCGGAAACATGGAGCTTGTCGGTAGCGTCTGTTCCATCACAGGCTCAGGGTCGGGTTCAGCAGGCCGCGCCCCGAAGACAGACATCCTTTTCAGAGGTGAGAGCTTATCTAACATTCCTGGGATGATTGCGGGAGACGAGAAGAAGTTCGACAGATCGAATCGATTCGCTTTTGCAGTTGCAGGAGCTTGGCTGGGTTCTTTAGTACCCTCCTTCTGAGTAACAAGCGAATACTCTTCTGGTTGAGCCGGTTCTGCAGGGGCAACTTTCATAGCATCCGCCTCAGGCACAACGTCTTCTTCCATGGGTCCTTCGTTTTCGTCAATCTCGCTCATCGTTCGCTGCTCATCACTTGGGACCCTCTGAGTTTCGCGAGCAACTGGTCTCTCCCACCGGCTGGGCAATTTGCCCCGTCTGCGGTAAGGTGATTCTGGCTTTTTCTCAACCCGTGGTTTAGGAGCTGCACGAGGACTTGACCTTTGCGCCTCAAACTCCCACAAATCCATATCGTCGCCTGCATCTTCAGTCTCGTCATCCGGGACGTCCACTACCCCGTCTATCTGGCCATGGGAAATTGGTGGGGCCTCACGTCTTGTTGTTCGCGCGAAGGCATCAAGAGGCACATCTCCACGAAGGCTGGGGCTAATGGGGCCTTCGTTCTGCACCCAGCTCATGCCACCCTCACTAGGGGCCTGGAAACGCGTCGAGCTGGCGGCAGAATCTCTAGATGCAGTCCGTCTATGACGTGGCGAGGAAGTGCGACTGCTCCTCTCGAGAGCTTCCATAAAACTCTGCTGTCCTGTGTGTCTGCTATTGGTCCCAAATGGATCTTCATATGCCTCGTCGCCCTGAGGAATTTGGCCAACCTCGGGGAAAGCACGAGACTTCCCGGGACTAGCACTCGGACGTCGCATGCTTTGAGACTCCCTTGGTCCCAATTCCCTGCTAGCTGAGCTCCTGAAGGGACTGCGCAAATGTTGGTCACGGGCCTCAGGTGATGGAGGATCCGACGTCACGCTTTGTAAAGCACGTCCTGCTCTAACAATAGGAGACAGCGTAGGGCGCCTGGCCCTCTCAGACACCATCTCGGGTTGAGATTGAGGTTCCTGAACAGGCGACGTGAGCTGATTCATTGGTGTCACCTCTGGCTGCTGGATCTCAGTTTCTAAAGACAGCCGAGGATGTTGTGGTTCAACAACTTTAGGTAGCTCCTGTACCACTTCAGGTTCCGCAACGACAGGGTCATCGATAACTGTTTCCTCAAACACTTGCTCATCCACATCAGAGTGATCACCAGGCTCATCCAAGAATTGGTGGTCCTGATCATCCAGATCCGAATGGTCATCGGGTTCTTGGGCAGGGGCATCAAAATCGATCAGAAGTTCATCGCCCTTGTCCGCCTGCTCCTCCACGATTTCATCGATGATCTCATGCACAATTTCCGGGGGCGCTTGAACTTGGCTTATAGGTTTAGTTGTGCGATTTCTCGGCGAAGAACCCCTGGATGAGACTGATCTGGTAGAGTTCCGTGAGGCAGTTGCTGACTTCTGATTGTTGTCACTTTCAATTCCAATGTTCGGAGGCGTGTCGTCAGGGGTAGGAAGACGCCCTGCATCAGAACGAGAGACGGCGCTTACATTAGAGGCTGCTGTCGGATTGGCCTCGTTTCGTTGTTCCTCTTCAACCTCTGGTTCCTCAACTCCTCGGTCTTGCTCTTCTTGAACTTCTGGTTCCTCAGGCTCATCTTCGAGCTCGATAAGTTGTGCGTCTTCCATTTGAATATCCTCTTTCTCAAGTGATACCTTCTTAGCAGTCGCTCGGGGACGGCGGGGTGTAGCTGCTTCCAGTACAGCATCAGGGATTTCTGAGAAAGAATCGTCATAAGCGTTTGAGTCTTCGTTTTCGAGGTGAGATGCGTCATATCGGTGGGATGCGAGAGGAGATCCACGGTATCCAGTGGTTTCAGGGACGTCGGGCGCGTTCGACTTTAGTAGCACTTGGTGTCGCAAAGGGGAAGAGCCTGGTCTCCGAGGGCTTTGAAGCCACCTTGAAGATAGGTTACGGTTAGGTGAGAATGTTAGGGGTGGGCGAATGGTAGATTGTCGAAGATCCTGTTGGGATTTTGCCGGTGCGGTTTCTTTGGGTGCTTCGTTCTTATCCCCTTGCTTGGCAGTTTCTTCATTCGTTTGTGGCCTATCGCGATCCTGTAATGACTGCCGTAGCGATTCCAAAGTATTGTTAATAATCATGCTCGTCTCTTCGCCTATATCGTTCTCGGTATGTTCCTGCATTGAACTGCGCAAGCTCGCCTGTAACGATGGGAGCGAGTCCATAAAAATCATACTAAAGTCTTCGCCTGCTGCAACGGTATCTTCGGGTCCAGGTCGAGTGTCGCTTTGAGGCTCGTCTGCAGAAGAAACGTCGCTCCCGGCAGGTCCGTATCCATAATCTCCAAAATCCGATGATTCGCCATCTCGGCCATGCTCTGGGCTCGAAGGAACGGGCACAGCTTGTGTTGCGCGACTTGCGGGTCTTGGAGTTGGTTCATCGTCCAATGTCGCCATCCAGATATCCGAGTCGGGTTCTGAAGTTTGGGCAGCCGCGCTATTGTTCGTGGTCCGGTTTGCGCGCAATTGATTTGCCTCGGCTTCTGAAGGTGTGATTACCAATGTCACGTCGTTATCGGCTTGAGAGTCGTCGGCGCGCATCGGAGGAAGATCGAATCCATCGCTGGCGAATGTGATATCGTCGACAGGGACGTCTTGTTGGGCGCTTTTCAGATCTGAAGTCGCCTCCTCTATTTCCTTCCCTACATCGCTAGGCGGCTCAATGGATCGATTCTTCGGGGGTCGGCCTCGTCGTTTCTTGCCTGTTGTAGGCTGTGGAGTATTCTCCTTCTCTGCCGTATCCGTATCTTGTGATATACGTGCCCGCCGTCGCGGGCTTCCTGCTATTGGTGTTCCCTTTCTTTTTGTTCCTGCGCTCGGTAAAGGTGTACCATTGTTTTTTCTCGGGCGACCTCGTTTTCTTGGAGTCGCGTCAGGATCTTGCACCTGGTCCTCAATCGTTTGTTTTAACGGAACGGTCGTAGTGGTCGCCATTTCTCTCCGTCGCGCCACCGGCAAGTAAGGACTATCTTGAAATAGTTTTCGACGCGCGCTGCTCGGTGCTGCCGTCACAACTGGTTCTTCCGTCTCGACCGTAACTAGTAATTTTTGGGGCGCCTGATTATCTCCAACTTCGAGTTCAAAAGTCTGCTTCCTGGGCGACGTTCCTAATCCTCCGGATGAAAATCGACTGGATCGTTGACTGCTTCGTACTATTCTGCGCGTGGTTGAAGGAGGCATAGCACTTAGAGTCTTGCTTTGACTCCGAGGCGGCTGCTCAACGGTATCATTTAGTGGATCTGGCGAGGACATAATATCCGCGCTGGGCGTGTTCATATCGGCCAGCGAGTGCCAGCGAACAGAGAAAGAGTCGGTATTAACGGCTAAGCTTTTGCGCTTTCGCATCGACTAGTGCTTGATTTAATCATTCATGGGTTGGAATGCAAAAAAAATAAAGTGCCGAATGCATATATGCAAGCGCGCACTATTACCGCCCGTTCATGAAGCAAAGCCAACCCGCGGTGTGCGTTGGATTTTGACCGGGGGGGACGTGGCGGGCGTGTTGACATTGAGCCTGATTAGGAATAGCGTCGTCGTGCCTTTGTTCTCTGGTTCGCATCTTTTGTTTCTCCCTGGCTCCGAAGCTTGCTAACAGTGCTCAGAATAACTACCTAATTAGGTTTAGCGGCTAAGCTCTGCCCGTAGGGCACTGCACGGTAAAGATCTCTAGTTACCGGCCCATGTCCTTTCTTTCCCCACGTCACATGCAGGGAAGTGACCTCATTTTCAGATGCGGAACAGTGGCCGACTTTTAGGGATGTCTTTCTCGGTATCAACTCCCGTCCCGACCTCGGTATATTTAGGGAGCACCCTCCTGTAACGATCTTTCTTCCCTTCTGTCACCAGGAGGAGGTCCTTGTTCTTTAAGCTGAGACATCCTGCCATTGCCGATACCGAGAACAGGCCTAGGTACTTCCATTTCCTCTTGGAGCTGTCGAAGCAATAATCTAATACCAGCCAGACCTTAAATATCCATAATTAAGCACGGCCCCGCGCAACTGTAGGATCCCTTCCCCAGGTTTTCTATTATACATTCTCCAATTCATTTCATTTCCATCAACTCAATTCAATCTAAGCAACAAACTTTTTACACGGCTTTCGCTTAATCTTGCTTAAATACTTATATACATCTTCAGGAAGCATCATGTCAGACAACGCCGAAAAGGAGACTACTCCTCAGATCGACTCCCCTGTTACAAAGGTCGAGATTACACCAAACAAGGTTGAGATCGAAAAGGCGCCCGAAGTTCCCGCCATCCCCCAAAATGACAATGTCGCTCACGCTTTGGCTGGCGCTGGAGGTGGCCTTTTGTCCATGATCCTGACGTAAGTATCGAAGATGCTTGTAACATCCCAATGCGACGCAATGCGCTAACAGTATCAAAGCTACCCTCTTATTACTCTCTCTACACGCGCCCAGGTCGAGTCCAAGAAGGCCGAGAGCAATTTCAGCGAGGCTGTTGGTAACATTATCGCTCGCGAGGGTATCTCGGGTCTTTACGCCGGTATTAACTCGGCCCTCTTCGGCATCAGCATTACCAACTTTGTCTACTACTACTGGTACGAATGGACCCGCGCTTTCTTCGAGAAGGCCGCTGCTAAGGCCGGTCGCGCTGGCTCCAAGCTCACTACCGTTGAGTCGATGATCGCCGGTGCCCTTGCTGGCTCCGCTACCGTTATCATCACCAACCCCATCTGGGTTGTCAACACCCGAGTCACTACTCGCCAGCAGGAGAAGAAGAAGGATGTTGAGGCCGGCGAGTCTTCCCAGCCTGCCAAGGCTCCCAGCACCATCGGCACTCTGCTGCTGCTTCTCAAGAACGAGGGTCCCCAGGCCCTTTTCGCTGGTGTCATCCCAGCTCTTGTCCTCGTCATTAACCCCATTCTTCAGTACACTCTGTTCGAGCAGCTCAAGAACACGGTTGAGAAGCGTCGCAAGGTGACTCCTACTGTTGCCTTCTTCCTTGGTGCCCTGGGCAAGCTGTTTGCTACTGCGATTACCTACCCTTACATCACTGTCAAGTCTCAGATGCACGTTCAGAGTGGAGGTAAGAAGGAGGGCTCCTTGGCCACTCTTTCTCGCATCGTGCGTGAGAATGGTTACTCCGGTCTCTACCGAGGTAAGTACTGCATTATTCCCTACACTTGGCCATTCGCTGATTGTCATCACCAGGTATTGGACCCAAGATTACTCAGAGTGTGCTCACTGCTGCTCTTCTCTTCGCCTTCAAGGACGTCCTTTACGAGCAGACCGTGCGTCTCCGAATGGCTCAGGCCGCTCGCCGACGCGTCGTCGCTTAAACTACCTTAACGTTAGCTTAAGCGCTGGTCCCACAAGACCCATCGTCTTATCAGTGTATTGAAACATCCAATCATTTTCAGTATCCCGTCCAATATCGAAAAGCATCTGCGGTGAGAATGCATTTGGTTATCATCTTGGAATTGTTATTGTGGGGATGGCGTTGCGTTCTTGGTTTCTTTGGTTTGCAGTCCGCTCAAGTAGAGTCAAGGCTGGCTGCGGAATAGCTGGTTAAGGAGGTCACTTTCATTTGGATACCCAAATGTATGTTTATAGTTTCGAAATACGTATTGAAATCTATTTGATTCTTTTTGACTCGTTAGGTATTGTTATATATCTCTTAAGCAGGGATTACACGAGGCACAATCCACCAGTCGTGATAACACTTATCCGGAATTGGCACCTCGGCCTTGATCGAGTCCTCCGCTTCCTTCTCCAATGCCTTCTGGACTGTCGTGATTGCAAGTCCTGTTGCGATGCATGCCTTGAGGGCGTTCTTCTTCGACGTAACCCATTTCTCGTGAGAGCCAACCGAGAACGCATCCCTGGCAGGCAACTTGCTTAAAGCTTCAAGTCCTTGCTTCGCACCTCGAAGTGCCCTCTCTGCATATCGGAGGATATCTACTGTAGATGATTCTGGCTGCGCAGTACCCTCTGTGAACTCTTGGAAGTTAGGTAGAGGTGGGAGACCAATCGCGGCAAATGGTCGCATGCGGAGATCAAAACGTAATTCGTCGTTGCTGTACGGTCGTGGAGGAAGCTTGATCAGCTTCAGTCGTAGCAAGATCGTGTAAACACATGATAGCGCATCCGACAATTCCCATGTAACAGCTGCATCAAGAAGCATGAGCCGAGTAAAAGCAAGAGATCGTTCAAGCTGGCGATCGACGGTAGGATCTCGAGGTCTGGAGGGCGCACGCGACTCCTCGACCTTTCGTACGATAAATGATTTGATCCTTTCGGCGTGCTGTAGCCTCCATTTGGCTAGGTAGTTGAGATACCAGTACATGCCGGCAAGTTCATCTGGCTGGTAAACTTCCAGCTCGAAGCCAAGCTGCACGATCGTTTCCATTTGGCGAATCTTGTACAAGTACGTCCATGAAGAAAGTGGAAGCGACCATGTCTCTACCGGAACACTGTTTGTGCCGGTCAACCGCTTCATGGGCTCCTCGTTCAACTTGATTTGGATGTTTTGATCAATCTCTTCTGCGTCGACTTGAAGGTTCTCCCAGTCCCTAATAACGTGACAGAGCGTGCGTCGCACACGGCATCGGTTCTGGCAGTATGTCCTGAAAATATCAAGAAAAGGTTGTGCAGCTCGTTTCCGGAAAAGCTCCATTTGTTCAGCAACTATAAACCGGGGATCTTGAGGAACCTCGATTTCATCATTGCTGCGATCAAGTTGAATGCTAGCTGGTAGGGTCACGATTGAAAAGTCGTCGTCCAGTAACTGGCGGATGCTCATTGAACCTAAGATTTCCATCTCGTTAAATAGAAAGGTCTGAAGCAAAGTTCGCACAAAGACCAGCGGTTGGGGCTTCTTGGCTTGGAAGTAATAAACGAAGGTCTAAGCACTGTCAGTACGAATTTGTCCGAGGAGAATATTCCCGCTTACCTGTAGAGATTGAGAGTCGGTGTAGTTAAGGACATCAATTAGTTCAGCGCCATCCTTGAACAATCTCGACAAGTGCTCGAATGCATCGTCGAACTTTAACTGCACAATCGGCCTCGGAGGCATGGTACTGGCAAGTCTGCGTTGTAGCTTGGCGCTGAAAGCCTCGTCAACAGATCGACCTAGCTCGTGAGAAGACTTGATCGCAGGGAGGAGATCGAGACATTGCAGCCATGGTTTTCTCGCTACATCGGGTTCCCTCACATGCTTGGGGCATTCCGTAGCATCTAGGAAACACGATCTTAGCTGCAGCCGTTGGTCCAGGGCTTCTCTGAGATCATCGCTGATTTCGTTCAGTGTACCGAGTAGACTTCTGGCCTCTTGGACAGACTTTTGAATGTCTTCAGGTTGTATCTCTGCAAGAAGAGTACGATGGTACGTGTTTGTCACAAAATCTTCTTCCTGTTCGTCTCTGTCAGCCGAGTCAGAATCTCACGACTTTCTGTTCGTTCTCACCTCGTAGTAGTGTTCTGATCTGATTCGCTCGTTCACATAGCCACAGGCCTTTAGCAAACCAAGACAATACGCTCTCAAGATTTCCAGCATGCTCGAATTTCCGGAAGACTCAGCGTTGGAGTTTCGGACGAAACGGGCATCTTCGACAGTTCGCGGCGTGGGTGTCAGAAGGGCTTCGGCATACACACTGGTGAAGAGTGTCTGCGACAGAGGATATCCTTGATGCCAGGCCATCTAAATAGACAAATTAGTTTCGGGTCTTGCTAGGTAGAAAAAGCACTTACTTCATGACAAAGAAGCTGATCTATGATTCCCAGCACTTCCTCGGGCAGAAGTGGCCGAGTAACATCGTAGAGCTCCTCAAGCTCATCGGTTGACTCTACGCAACCGCTATCCATCTTAGGGTCCATGATCTAAGTGCGTCAGCCTTAGATCTGGTGATTGAATCATTGAAATCTCACTTCAAGAGCCGCAACGGACTCAAACAACGTAAACATGTCATCTTTGACGAGATCTCCGGGTGCAAAGGCTACAGTAAGAGTCAGTGGATGGCGGGGTCATGGTGGGAGTACCAAGCACGAAAACTTACTGTTGACAGCTTCTGAGAATTTATCTGTAATATCGACAGGAACTATTCCCACAGTCCTAATATCTGGAGGTGGCGGAGGGGGAGGTTCATATTGATAGTCCAGCGATAATCTCGCGATATCTGTGCCTTCGGTCAGACTTTGACATCACATAATTCGAGGTTCAGGTAAGGTATTGTTGGGTACCCACCATCGGGAATGCCTGAGTCGGCCATGTCGATTGAGTAAAGCGACAAGTGATGGGATTATGAATTAATATTTTAGCCCGAGCACCATCTGTGTGGGTTGAGATCTGTGTTGACAAGAATTCAGTATCATGTGTTGACAGGAAGTTAAGCTGTGAGAAGGGATGTACTATGTCCTATCTCCCAACCATGATTGATCATGGCTCCACCACTACGTACTACTTACTTGGTGATTGTTGATTTATTTGAAGTTTGGTCGAAACAACATTATGGCAATGTATTGGTTAATAAATTTTGTGAGAAAGTTTGGACAAGACCATGGTAGAGATATTACGACAGAGTGAGTTGCTAATGCGGTCTTCATCTAACGCTTTTGTGGAGAGTTGTCGTCGTTTCGGCTGTAGCCGGAATGGCAGAAAGTTGAGATATCTACGTTCCACTGCGACCATCACATCACATCACGATACAATTCGTTGGACATTATTCATCACCAGCAATTCCTGTTCCTCAATTGCAATCGTAGTTTTGAGTGACTGTTATATTGTAGCAATCATTAATGATACAGTGGCACCAGGTGCATGCAGTCGGCGGCTCTTGGTGAACAAGTTCCATGTCATCCCAACCGAGCAGCCCCCCTCAGGCGCCATGCTTCCAAATTTCCACGCGCAATCATTTATCCCGTTCGATTTGCTTAAGCGGCGTTCTCGGCGGCGATGGCAGCGTTGGCCTTGGCAAGGTCCTGGGGCTCACCCTGCTTGCCGTTCTGTTGAGGTAATTACCCGTTAGTCTTTTGTCGCTTTATCTCGATAGTCGCAGGTTCAGTGTCGCCTTACATTCCACTTGGCGAATCGCAGCTCCATCTCGCCTCGGCGCTCGGCAGCGATTCTCTTGTCCTCCTTCAAGCTTCGGCGGACAACGCGGGCGGCGATGCCCAGGTAGCGGTTGTAGCTATCGGGAAAAAGATGTTAGCTTCTCGATGCTCGGGTACGGTCGCTCGGCGGGCAGGCGATAAAATTGGCGATGTCTAAGGGTTCAATTGACGTACGTAAGACCAGCGGCTCTCCACGCAGCAGGCATATTGGCGGTGTTGGAGGTTGAATTGGGAGGGATTGGTTTTGATAGTTGGTGATGGCTGAATCTTTGCCCCGAATTACCGGACGACGGCAGAGCTAGAAATGGTAGCCTTAGGCCGAATTTGCTGCTAGAGCCGGGAAACAACCGGGAGGTGATGATGTCACGTGATATAAGCTGGTGTTAGTGTAGCGGGAAGACCCTTGCGTACCTGGATCTAATCAATTTACGGCAGCCATCTCACCTATTCTCACGAGCTAACAATCCTTCTCATTAATCCTTTTCGTTAAACATTGTTCTGTTCTCAATACGAATAATAGACACAATCATCTTCAATTCCTTAGTCATGATTACTCGTGTCTTGTTAAGCTTAAGTGAAACAACATGCTTATCTCAAATATGCATGGCTTGGCCAAGGGTCGTGCAGCTTCAAATCAAATAAGCCGTGAGACACATCACCAAAAGCCAATAGTAGCGGCATCAAGACAGCAGGGGCTACTATAGAGGCGGCCGCCCAATAAGCACATACCATTGGCCTCTGTGCTTATCCTGCAGCTATTCAGCTTCTCCTCATATAATGGTGCTGGGTTGTCCTTCTTATCCTTACAACTTCTGTCGTCTCTCTTGAAATGTCTTTTATCCCTTCTGCTCGACGTCGGCGACCGCAGGAGTTTACCCTCCCCAATGGGAAAAGGGTGATTGCCTCTCTTCCAGAGGACGTTAACGAGTTACGTGAAAAACATGGAGACCTTTGTGATACACAGATCGAAATTATTATCCATGGATCACCAGAACACCACAATTATCTCAAAGAGACACGAGATCACCATGAAGGTCGTCGTGATCACTTTCGTCGAAAGCATGGCCCTGCTTTTGACGAATGGGAAGATATGCAGAGTCAGCTCGATCTAGTCAATAGCCACCTGGAACGACTCTCAACTAGCACATCCGGTCTGAATGCCAACTTCGACAAGTTTGGCTACGGCGCTGAATTGCGAACTTATGATGATGACGAGCCTGCACCTAATGTCGACTCATCAAACATGTCTACGTCTGACACATTATCAGTTGGCTCTGGTGGGGGTCAGCCTCGATTAGGGGAGACCATCAAGCTCTTCAAGAAGCCAGTCATAAAGCAATGGTTTCACAAGGGCCTGCTGTGGCGTGCTTCAGACAATACTGAAATTATGGCCATCGAGCTCTTCTTCGATCTTCTTTACGGTGAGTATTCCAGTGCTACTATGGTAGCCATGACCTAAACAAGATCACAGTCGGTATTATCCACGTCAATGGTGAACATGTCTGGGCAGAACCGACCGGCAAAGAGCTTCTGCGCTTTGCGATTACGTTCATTATGTCTTGGAAAATCTGGTCCGATATCACCTTGATCTTGAGTTGGTTCGAGACAGACGATGTCTTCACTCGGCTTGAAATTCTGTTTGAGATTGCATGTCTCTTGGGGTACGTGGCCTTGGAAAGAAATAAGACGTTTACTAACTGAACAGGTTCTCGACCAACATGACATATGCCTTTTACGAGGGCGAACACAACACATACACGATGCTGGTGTCTTTCTACGTTGCTGCTCGATTTAGAGGTATCGTGCATTTCCTATATACCGCTTATCTTCTCCCAATGGTTCGAGGTGTTATGGTTTGTCAGGCTATCAATATCATCATTCCTGCAACTATTTGGATCGCCAGTATCCATGTTGAGATGCCTTCTCGACTAGGACTTATTTGGGTTGCTATTGCCTTGGATATGTGTGGTCAAAGCATCTTGACGGGACTATTTCAATGGGGTCGGACAACTTCACAGCCTAAACGGTTTGCGAGATATCTTTCTGGCCTTTTTGAATTCTTTCCAGCCGTCAACATTGAGCATCGAGTTGAACGGACCAATGCCTTTGTTTCTTTGGTGTTTGGATACTCTGTTATGGGACCCATGTTCCAGAGTCATGGAGGTTATACAGTCGATGTATTTCTGGGTAAGGCTATTCTTGGGCTTTGCCAGGCATTTGTCTTCAACTGGATCTACTTCGATGTCGATGGAAGCAACATCGATGTACACGCCATCAGACGCGCTGTATATACTTGTGAGTCTTCAGGTCTACGTCAGCGTTCTCGTGTTAACTGTTGTAGCTTCGATATGGCACTACGCTCACCTTCCCTTCATCATGGGCTATATCCTCGCATCTGCTGGATTATCTAAGCTCGTTCTGGTTGCTGACACACCGAGCGCAAACCCTGAGCATCTGACAGATCACTACATCGAGCGTGCAGAGCCCGAGATCGCCAATGGAATCCGGTACTTTTATTGTCATGGTCTTGCTATCGCATTGCTTTTCATGGGAGTCATATCAGCTTGTCATGGACATCGCCACCCGTCAACTCGACGCTTATCTAAAAAGACTCGGCTGGCCAACCGGGCACTTGTCTGCCTCATCCTCTTCTGCTTGCCCTTGGCCAAGAGCCTCAATTCGTTGAATCTCGTTTCCATCACTCTCGCATTGACCACATGGGTCTTGCTTCTTGAGTTGTTTGGCAAGTCGTGCCGCAATGACCCTTTTATTGGTGAGAAGCAAGGATGCTCGGTGCGGTACAAGTGCAAGTGCAGCAAGAAGGATCTTGAAAATGCGAATCTGGACGAGAAGCCTAAGACTGCTTCGGCAGAAGTCCTCGAGCTGGGACCTAGAGAGAAAACTGCAGTGGTTGATGTACAAGACTGAGCAAGTTAAAAGAGGAAGGACATATATATTCTTAGCGGCTACTGTCTCGGATATCTCAGAAGAACTCATCTACACTTAAACCAAACTATCGCTATTTAGTTCCAGCACATGAACTAAGTCACCGTTCCAACAAATCAAGGACCACCAGATGCACCTCCCATGATCACCATAGTCTGGTGCATTCTTCTTCTGTCGACTTCCTTCTTCATCATCGATACACAGCTTGCAACAGCAAGGATCTCCATCTCGATACTTTCGTCCTTCCTATCCAGCCACTCGCGCAGATCAAGCATGAGTCGCCCTCCATTTCCAGCAGTACATTTTCTTGAGCCTGGAGTGCGGAGTCCATTGCTACGCACGAACTGACCAACCTTGCGTCGTCGCTCTTCCTGCTTTCCGCCTGCTACGGCTACTTTCATAACCTGGTCAAGGATAAGCAAACAGTCAATTTCTTCGCCAACAGAGGTTTGTGCGGCGCGGCGTTCAGCACGGGAACTGTACCGCCACTCGAAGGTGCCTAGATGGGTTCGCATGACTACACTGCGAGTAAAGACGCCCTTGCAGCTTATTTCGATTTCCTCAGATTGTTTGTTCTGAGATGTTCCGTTCTCAAGACGAATTTTGGGGGGCTTGCCTGGCCCGAAGCGATATGTCGTGGTACAGAGTGGTTTCTGTACTTCATCTTTTGCTCGTGCTAGGAAGCATGATCCTGAGTTACGAGCCGGTCGAATGGAAACATATTCGGCTTCGTCAATATCGCCTGTTGGTCCAACGTTGAAGATGTAGATAGGGTCTGGGTGTGGTGGCAGAGGCAGGCTGATGAGAGGAAACCCTGGTGCCTGGATCTGAAGTTGCTTAGTTGGGTAGAAGACTTCTGTATCCGAGGTTGAGGCGATGTTGTTGTTGTATAAGGTAGTGTACTCGGGAAGAGAGTTTGTGGAGGAGGATGCTAGTGAGATGCGGGATAGCTCTACAGCTTCGGTCTCATACTCAGGAGGGGGGTTCGAGTATGTGGAAGAGCCACCGTTGAGGTATGATACTGAAGTCGGCATTGTTTCCACCTTTGTAGGCATTTTGATCTTCTCGAGTAAAGTAAAAAGTGTCTTGCAGTAGTATCTTCAGTGTAAGTCGTGTAAGTGCTTGATCACTCTCCTCCATCTCCAATCCCCAACCCGGGACAAGCGATATATATACACAACCAATTCTCACGAGCTCCCTCATAATGATCACATTTACGATGTGATCTTCGCTGAAACCGAAGAATACGGCGCTATATTCCTCGGACAGCCCAAGGCATCTTTCAGCCCTGTGGCAAGCTCCTTAGGTTGTGATTGGTCAACTTATGATCTACACTCCACTCTGGGTACAATACGACGAATGCGAGAGTCAATTAGTGGGGGGGCTTTGAAGAGGCAGTGCCGAGACTTCACTAGTAAGAGCAAAGAGAATCGAGAATCGAGATGGAGGTAACGCCCGAGTAATATGAGGTCAATCATTAGGCTATTTTGTGATTTCGGTTTAAACGATTGGCTTTAACTCAAGGTGTAAGTGGATCCCAAATATGTATTGAATAGTGCACATTCATGGTGTAAGTGAAGTCGCAAAATCATTACTTATAGAGCTTTGTTCATATTCTCATGATACCGTACCGACTCCGTCAGATCATTAGCACTAACAAGATAAACTCATGGAACTCTTCCAAAGAAAGTAATATCACGGTCAAGTTGCTCCTCCACCCACATCGGCCATTGATTATACGCCTGGTGCTCCATATCAATACTCGCATTGAGATACTTCAACCACCGAGCGAATCCAGGATCAGTATCTGTCTTTCCCTCTTCAGAACGACTCTTATCCGAGACGTTCCTCTCTTGTCCGCTGATAGGCGTCATGATTTCGTTGATAGAAATCCAGTGCGAGTGGAGAAGCAACATGACTTGGTTATCTGGATTGATGAGGGCTTGGAATGTCTCGTGGGGGAGAAGCATCCACCAGCCGTATTGTGCTGTGTACGCTTTGTAGGCTACAAAACCCAGTCAGATGGTTATTAGTAGTGGATATTTGAGACTTACCGTCCCAAGAGTTGACGTAGAACTTTTCGACTATCGTCATGAGATGTTGGTGGTACTCAACCTCAACGCCCTCTTTACACAACGGTTTAAGATTCGTGAGAGCTTCGACCGCAGAATCAGTATACCCCTTCTGGATAAGAGGAAGACCCTGCATGAGAGGTTCAAGCAGCGCATCTTGCTCTGGTTCCATCGTGTTTCCAAATATTGGCTTTATACCACGAAACATCATTTGCATCCCTACAATCATGATACCCCGGATGAAAGTCAGATACTCTGCTAGCCCATCCTCGAGACTGACTGATTGGAATGTCAAAGCGTAGCAGGTGGCTACCATAGCGTTGGCCTCCTCGTAGTCCATTGAGGACTTGGCTGTTTCTCCGAGGCGTTTCTTTATGGCTCTAATGGCCTTTATGCGGTGGTTCATAGCTGATGAAATGAGACTGGGGTCGTTTCTCATGAGTTCGGATGCTGAGAACCCTAGAATTGCGTGCATGAGATATTCGTGCTGGCAACATCAGTAACTAAACGTTCATGACTTGAAGGGGAACATACGTTATGTGCAATACAAGGAATCTCATGAGTCCAAACATCTTCTTGCCTCAACGGATGATGAGGATAGCATTGAGTCAGAAAATGCTGAAAGAAGCGCATGTCCTGAAGACTAAACAGCGGAACCTGGTTATGCGGCTATAACACTTAATCAGCTCCGTATCAAACTTGACTGTCGACTGATGAATACCTGATGTGTGATCTGAGGCGCAGAAGGATATTCGCACTTCAATCCTGTCTTTGTACAATGTCCACACGCAGGACGAGTCTCCTGGCACTTGATACGTCTCCTCTTGCAATTATAGCATCCTCTCCTGCTCTTAGTATGACCTCTCCTCTCAAGTCGCTGTTTTTGCAGTGACGTTACTCGAACGGCGACTTCACCGCTGGAATTTGATGTTGAACTTGGCGGGGTTGCCTTGTCTGATGAGGAGGATGAGGATTGTTGCTGGTTATAGGCGCTTTCACCGAAGGACAAAGGGTCAGTTTGGAGAAAGGCACTATAGTCAAAGTCAGGCTGGTCGGGGAATGAAAGTATTCCTGGCATGAAGTCTTGTGATATGTCCATCTTGAAGTTTTTGTGTCGTAGAGTTACTGTTTAGCCGATGATGTTCTTGTAGATCCAATGAGGTGCTTGTGATATAGGTTGAGTCGACGACAGTATATCCTCTCAGCAGTCGACTGTATGTTGTTCAACGGTCACACTAATTAAATAATTGTATTGGAAAGATGAAGTTATCCAGACCCAACAAGAAACTCACGAGGTGTCAAGTGCTTGATAGCTTCAACATAGCACCCACGAATCAGCATTCCATCGTCACGTGTAGAAGCTAGTAGTGGTTGATCCTACAAAAGTGGCTTGGACTCTGCCACAATTAGTTGAATGGTCTCTTCTATCATTCGCTGCAGTTGCAACTATCCCTAACAAACAGGGCGAGGCGCAGCGGGTCATCATTCAGCCGCTCTCTCGCATTATCATCCCTATTTGGGGGGCAGTGCGATATGCAATTGTTGTTAGACTGAGAGACGTTGATTTACTATGAATCTGGGTGGATCTGACGGTTTTACTCAGCCGTTTAAAACAGATAAAAATGACGTCTATTCAAACTGTCTCTTAATTGAAACTCAACTATCGATACGTCCTAATCGATGAGGCGGGGCCCCAGTTTCGAATAACTTAAGCCATTGTTGGCGTTTAAGTTCAGCCTAGAATGATTCGAGCAATAACACGGGAACGATCCATTTAATTACAGTAGACCCAAGATTGATATGAACCTCAAACATGATATCTCATTTATCTTGATTCTGGATCTAGGCTATGGTGTTTTTGTTTTATCTTGAAACCCCAGCTAGGTAATGATTAACGCGCGCCTGTGATCGTCAGCATCTCATTTCCCAGAGACTAACACCGGGCGCTTCCATCAATACAACGATTGGCAATCATCCCAGCGTCGATCGTAGTTATTTAGTCTACCTGAAAGCCTGGAGCTACGTTACGGTATGTTTCTATTTGGAGAACTGGTTCATTTACCGCCGTTCACCGTTGATGCTGATCTCCCTTGTTGGTTTAATCGAGGCTCTACGAGAAGATTGTTTTTGAACGGCAATCAGATGTGAAAGCAGACATCTCACCATCAGGGAATCGCAACTAACGTGACAATCGATACTGCAATGGCAACAGGTGATTGTAATGTTGATAAAAGCAACATTGAAAAAGCATGTTCTCGGGTTGCGATACAACGAGTGGACAACAACAACCAGTAATTCATACTGAGGATCTTACCCTATACCAAGACGAATTGATATTCCATCCTCGAGGCTTGAGCCGTATAAGTTATCTCGCCTACCAAGACAAACCCACTGCCTTTTGCGGAGGCCTCTCCAGTCCCTGGAGCAAGCTATAATTCTAGAATCACGGTGTTGCGGGCTGCGTCGTCTCATTCCCGTGTCCAAGGAAGGCCCCAACTCAACATCCCCAGATAGTAGTGGGGCCATACGACAGAACGCTCGTATAAACACCAAGGCTAATATCCCACTCTATCCATCGTACTGAGAGATTGGACATCGTCTAGGTCTCTCTCAATGCGGTGTAGGACAATTCATCCAAGCGCCTGTCACTCATCGAATAATTAGATAGAAGATACGCACAACGTCCAGTAGGAGCCCCTAGAGCTCGACGAGCTTTGGTCGATCAGGGATCTCCTGACGCGATCTGGCCTAAGATAAGATGAGCTGCCCCATGGCTCCATAACTTATGGGCTGAAATCGCGATGATCAGTACGCACAAGAGCCGGTCGCTTGAGAGACAGACTTTGTTGTTTACAGTGAGGCTGGAGGTAGGCAAGTAAACAATTCCCCTGAGTCTTCCTTAGAATATGCTTGTAGGCTTGCTACCCGAAGGAACATCATTTAATCAGAAAGATCACAAATTAGCAACACGTCAGCTTGACCGCCACATGTCAATAGTCTAGGTGCCAAGACGAGATGAAAAATAAAGTCCGTGGCCCTTATTAGCCTCCTATGCACAAAGAGTGCTTGAGTGTGTGCTTCTTTGTGCTTGAACTTTGGATAAAGGCAAAAAATGCAACCATCCCTTATGCAGGGCAATCGCAAACTCTGCCCAAAAGAAAACGCCAACAAAGAAAAACAAAAACAAAAACGAAACTGACATTGTGTTCTTTCAAATTTTTCTTTTCTTGTGTGTTCTCAGACCACAAAGCCAAGTTGTGCTGGTGGGGATAAAGCGGTTGAGGATGTGACCCTCCCATGCCCTTGGTGTGTTTGGACCGGGGAATCGAGAACCAAGCTTTTTGTGCCAAAAATGGCTCAACCGTGGTTCTTGATTCCGTTTGCAGAGTAACCTTGCACGGTATCCTTCGAGGGTCCGATCCGCCGTCAGTTCCCCGGGGGTTACAGTGACAGCGAGACAGACAAGAGCTCGAATATTGACAAGGATGAATCATGAACTGAGAATGTCTTGTTCGTGTGGCGGCGGGACGCAATTTCGGAAGGTGTTTCACGCGGCGGATGCTAAGAGAGAATTAGGCTTAGTAGCCGACGTGGCCCTGTGCAAAGGTTCAGGTGTCCCAAGAGGCTGGTCTGGGACTTTGGAACAACTCCAGAAAGCCAAGCCTGAGACTGTGCGTTCAGACTTCAGAGTTTTTGGCGGTGGCACTTTGGGTCGTTTCTGTGCGTTGTCGTGCTAGCACTGGCACTGACAATTTGTGGACGTCATATGATGGTTATCGTGCGTCGTGGTGTGAGGCAATTGGAATGTCCAAGAGCCTGGTGATGCATTGTACCGTAATTGCGATATGTAGGTTGTGCTTGGTGGTCGACGTCCTGAGGCCTTGCATTCACGACGTGGGCTGGGCTTGGCACGAGAATAAGCTTGAGCAAGGCGAGACTACCATCGAGCATCCTGGGTAGGATCAGCTGCTTGCTTCCTACTACGGTAGTAGGTCAAAGTCGATAGTACACGGTCTTGTCCGTCCGCTCGTTCAAGGCGTTCTCGAAAACAGCTGAAGCGAAAGGAAGCGTCCAAGTGCCGGCAGGAAATTCGGTCGGCCAAGCTTTACTGTCTTGGCTTAATCTCTGTCTGCGAACGGAACCGTTTGTTTCTTATACCATGGTGGATAAACCAAAGCTCCATGTGGAATTGTTGAGTCAGTCATTGGGGCGAGAGCGTGCTGGCATTGCAGCGTAAGCATCAGTCAGTTCCATTACAGCGTGCACTGAGCGCTGTACAGTGCATAGTTGCCCCGAGAGAGGCTGCGATGAATCATTCCATCAGAACGTTATTGGGCCGTTTGCGGTCTTTTTCGTTTCCTCACTGTTTTTGTGTTCCTGCAGATGGGGGAGACTGGACCTGCAGTAATTAGACCAAAGCCGGACGAAATAGTGTTGCTTACGGCTGTTTCAGTGTGAGCATAACTTCACCTGACTGGTTGTGCAGTCTAATGCATCCACTGCCACGTTGACCCATGTTTTTTCTGTCGTTGACCTGTTGTTTAGGCTCTGCGAGGGCGGTCGGACCACCCAATCGGAAGGTGACTCTATGCTACCTGAGGCGCCACACAGGGGTTAGGGATACCCCTGATGAAAGACCCGCTATCTGCCAGGGGTTGGCGTACCCGGCCTTGATCCACTCAGGCACGGGCGCCAGGAACAGAGCGGTTCGGCCAATGGAAATACAGGAGGACTCCAAGCATTTCACCTGATTTCACTAGAGGCGCCCCAAACCGGCCCCTGCAGTGGAGGCTCAGAATAGTGCAGGTGGGCACCCTCTGGTCAGTCCAGGAAACAAAGATACCAGGCATCAGGTGAAGATTCGGGTATCTCCAACGATCGTCAGCAGGCGAAAAGATACATTCCAGTCCACTTGATCGCAAGTACACACTCTCAAAACCACACCACTCACTTGCATGCCCTATTGCTAGGACTTCCTTGTTCTTAAACCCTCCAAAGCCCCCCATTTGTTTCGAACCTCCCTTCCCCTTCTCTCCTTCATCTCGTCAACCCTCGCTCGATTTGTCGTCGCCCTTCATTAGGCTATCTATTTGCGTCTTCGATAGATCGCATACACACTCTCTAAACCGGCCGTGCCGATCACATAACTACCATCTTTAACCTCGATCTTTCGTGTGTTGTTGCTTCCACTCCGTCATCCTGACAGTGATCAACCCCGAAAATCAAGTCCACACTCATTACAATCAACGACGATACACACCGGGTTTCCTTCGATCTTTACTCAAACAGCCATTATCAGGAACACAGTCAAGATGATCGCCAACAAGCTCACCATCCTCACTGCCACCGCCGCTCTCCTTGAGCCGGCTCTTGCCCTCGGCCACCGTCACGGTCACCAGCACCCCCAGAAGCGTGGTGATTGGATCACTGCCACCATCGACGGTCAGGTCGTCTCTTGGGAGAACAACTACTTCGGTCCCGGCGGCGCTCCTGCTGCCACCCAGGCCGCTTCCAAGCCCGAGGCTCCTGCTGCTCCCGCTCCCGCTGCCGCTCAGCCTACCACCATCATCAAGGTCGCCAAGCCTTCCCAGGCTGCTAAGGCTGCTTCCAAGCCCGCCAAGGCTGCCTACGAGGCTCCCAAGGCTGAGGAGAAGGCTGCCGCTCCCAAGAAGGCCGTCAAGGCCCAGCAGGTTAAGGCCGCCAGTACCCCCAAGAAGACCAAGCCTAGCTCCGGCGGTTCCTCCGGCGGCTCTGTTGGCTTCTCCCACAAGCGAGGTGTCTGCTACAACAACGTCGAGCTTGCCAACACCTTCGCCGCCAACTGCAAGAACTGTGGCTGGGGTTACAACTGGGACTCCGAGTCCGGTGGTCTTGAGGGCTTGAACTTCATCCCCACCCTCTGGTCCGACCAGGCCGTCCACGTCGACCGCTTTGCCGACAACTGTGCCAAGGCCCTCTCCAACGGTGCTAAGGCCATCTTCTCCTTCAACGAGCCCGACAACGGTGGCCAGGCTCACATGACCCCTGCTGCCGCTGCCGCTGCCCACGTCAAGCTCATGAACCCTTACGCCGGTAAGGCCCTCATCGGTGCTCCTTCCATCAGCAACAGTGGTCTCCCCATGGAGGGTCGCGAGTGGCTCGAGAACTTCGTCAAGGAGTGTGACAACCAGAGCGAGAAGTGCCACTATGACTTCTGCAACGTCCACTGGTACTCCGAGGTTGAGTACGGTGAGACTCTCTTCGAGCACCTCGAGAAGTCCCACGAGATCTGCGGCGGCAAGCCCATCTGGCTCACCGAGTTCGCCCCCAAGGGCTCCGACGAGGCCATTGCTTCTTGGCTCGAGGAGGCCATTCCTCGTCTTGAGGCTCTCGACTACCTTGATGCCTACTCCTACTTCAAGGTCGAGACCGGTATGCTCATGACCACCGAGACCGAGATGTCCAAGTACGGTAGCGTTTACGCCTCCGCTTAAGCTTACCACAGCTTGACGGCAGATGACGCCACCAGTTATTTTTAACACTTCTTGTACACTCGCTAGGGGATACCCAACTATTCAAATTGGCTTTTTTTCGGGAGGGGGAGGATAGATATTTTCGGTTCAAGGATGGCGCCCGTTGACTTCTGTACATATTCTGCATCTAGGTGACCTGGATCTGGCTTTACCACACGGTTCACCCAGCATTCTGCGACAGTCATTCTACCTACCTTTTTATTACCAGTTCCGGGACCTCGCACACATACAAAAAGGGGGCTTTGCAAATAGACACAATTTCCTGACCTTAGCAGCTTGATAGACCAGTACTTTAGCGCGCAGATACATCTACGAGCTACGACGACAATGAACAGCGATTTAACTGCTCCAACCACCTTGAACCAGTTCCTGTGATGAATTATGCATGTGATGTCAAATGTTTTTAACAGCCCCCAACACTCGTCATAGTGTTTTACATCCCCATGTCTCTAAGCTTCTGGGTCATCTGACCGTTTGATTGATCCTACGACAGAGGCTGTGTCTTGACGCATCCGTAAGGCTGGGAGTCATGGAATGCTATGCCATGTCAAGGCACGGGAGATCAGCACACAGTTCCTCGTATCATTCCATCTCTGAAATCTGAGACTTGTCTGTCGAATAACATGTCTTCTTGGACACTTGCCACGATCTACTGCAATAGTGCACATGATCATCGAAGGTAAAAAAGTATATGATTAGTTTGGCGAGCTTATACAACGCTCGATGATATCTATAGGGCAGATTTGGGTATCTCGCTCCCACCCCATCCAAACTCCGGCCTTTTCAAGCAATCGTGACTTTCCAAGAACTACATTAACACCACTCCATCTAATGAAAGACCCAATGGAACCCCCCTCTATGAATTTTGTGCTCTAGCTTTTCAGTTCAACGGCCGTGAGAATGAAAGTGTTTTCGTTCGCTGATGCTGTGGTCTAGCGCCCCCTTGAATCCGTGTCCGCAGTGGCTCAGAGACATTAGTTTGACCTGGTGTGTAGACTGCTGGTCGTAACGGAAAGTCTGATTCAGACTCGCCAATAGTCTCGATATCATCTTCAAGACTCTCCTTACGATCCATGGTAGGCTTGCTCTGACGATGGATGGTTGTTGTAACGACAACACCACTGCTGACCTTGGTCACCTCAGAGCCGGCATCGCTAGCGAAGGCGACTACGCCTGGCGAAACAAGGAGGGTCTCGTCGTCAATATCATGACCGGCATTAGGAGCGCTGGGAGATCGCAGGTTGCTCATCGGATGAGCTACTGATGATCGTCTGGCGATGTAGCTGTTGTCGATGGCATCCGAAGCGGGTTGACTTGAGGAACCGGCACTGTCACGGGAAGTGACCCATTGAACAACGATAGCCGAGAAGAGAACTGGATTGTATTAGCCTGCATCTTTTGGGCATCCATAAAATTAAACGTACCATCGCTGTTACAGCACATGAGGCACACCCACCCGGGCTCACCATTGAGAACCATCAGAACCGTCAAGTTGCTATAGTGCGTTATTAGTTTCTGGCCTTAAGCATATTATGTAGAAAAAAAAAAAACATACACAATACTGCTTGTGAGGGTGCAGCAAGCACCGACGAAAGTGCGGACGGCAACGCTGCGAAGGCGAGAGTTGGCGCCGGTCTTTGGCAAGTTCTTGAAGGAGTAGAGGTCTAAAACGTTTGTCAGCATATCTTATTATCATTCTCTGTTCTCTTCAACTTACTCTTAAGAGGAATAAGGAAAAGGACAGTCAGGTAGACGTTGACGACAGCATCGAAAGCGATAAGAGGAATCATTGAGATCTTTTGCATTCCAATGAAGCACTCTCCATTGACAATTCTGGCAATGCGACTGATAACATTCTGGTTAGTTGACGAAGAAAGAAACGTAGCATGTCCAGGGGATGACTTACAACATGAAGTTCATTACCACAACGACTCCATAACCGACGAGAAGAGTGATCATGTTGAATAAGTAAAGCTTCGAGTTTCGCCTTCGTGTTGTAGAGCTTCGAATAACATGCTATTGTTTGTTAGAATCGTTGGCCATTTTATGTAGATGTTTTGTCACATACTGCTTTCTCGACAAGGAAGACATAGATAAGCTGTATCTGTGTTAACCAGATTCTTTCGGTGCGATATACAGCGGGAACCCACAATCTTGGTTGTCACATAACAGATAAGACATAAGAGAATTGCTCCATGGCAGATGTTGAAGCTGGAGTTGACGCCGAAAACCTGTTGGAGGACCGCCGAGGTGAAGACGAAGCCATAAGAATCGATATAGATGATGAGAACGACTATCAGGAAAATTTCTTGTTAGCACGTCGAGACTACAGCCTGGATTCTAGATATACTCACGCCAAGCGACGAAGGGTAATCGTGACCATGAGCGAACTGCAGTGATTCTTTGGACTGTTCCACCAACATATCAGTTACAAGCCCACAGTGTTATCCATATCGTAGCAGAGACGCACATAGAAAGATGGACAATATCGAAGTAGCGGCAAGTGAGACGATAACCGACATAGTATCTCCACCTATGGGAACCGGCTGCGGTGTATGAGCCTCGCGAGGCACGAGAGAAGGGTTCGGAGCCATGGTAAATCGATATAAGGCCAAGAAGATACCCAAGTCAAGGCAGATGAAGATGATTCGAGCCTTTCGTGTACTGGCGTATCAATATTGGAGCACAAACCCGAGTCAAAATTCTCGGGAGTTACAGTAGAGGGACATAGACAGCATTATAAGAACACGCGGCAAGGGAAACGAAACACCAAAGGCCGTAGTCCACAGCCATGGGAGACAGTAGTGTACTGCAAATAGCCTAGAGTTAGAGTAGAGGGAAGTGCTAAAAGAGGGACAGCAGGAGTAGTTCCCACCTGGCTTACACTAAAGAAGATTTAGCCAAAGCTAAATCGTGGCTATTGAGTAAAGAGAAAGATCTCAAGCCACGGGGTCTCACTTTCCCAACTATGCGGTACGGTTAGCCGCACCTTCCTCACAAGTTCGTCAGCAACACGTCAAGTATCCGGCTCAAGCTTCTTGGGCAGGAGGTGCTAACATTTTGAACCTGAAACTGCCTACCAAGATCTTTCTCTGTTCAGTGTTTTGGAACCTGCTCATATGATCCTTCTACTAACTGAGTGCAGGATCCTCAATATGAGACTATCCAAAGATCTCCTCTCATCTGACCCAAGTTGTTTAAGGCCGCCGCAGGTACAAACGCTGCTGCATAACACGATTAACTTCGAGGCTCAGGCACAGTCAACCAAAGTCCAGTCGACCCCTTGCTGTTCTACAAGCCAAGAAAAATTAATCGAAACCAGCCAACCACAACAAATGGAGCGAGAGAATAAGGTTCAGGACGGTGTGTCCGTTACTAGATGGGCCATCGACGGGAGCCCGATCGAGTGGACCACGGGAAATAGGGGAGATTTGCTAAGCTAAGATCCAAAAGGTAGCGGAGAAACCGAATACCTGAGAATACTGCTCCTGGCAGGCAGCTCTCTTCTTTTTGCGTATCTTTTTCCAATATCGGATAAGGCTCACGAGACAACCATCGCCAAGACATTACAAATGCTTCATGTTCCGTCAATATCGGAGGGAGGTCATCAAGACTACGGCTAGATCTGATTACTGAGCAAGTATTTGGGTTAAAGGACATGAATTCTGCCTGACGACAGCAAATCGTCATTCTGATCGAGTTGAAATTCGGGATATTATCTCAAATATCTTTCAATCACGATTGTATCAACACCGAAGAAAGCATGCCAAATCTGGTGGGTGGCTGTTGAACTTCCATCGTTCATCTGAAAGGCAGGCATCTCGTGATGTATAGATGCAGAACGAAGCCGATTGATTTCGGGTGTGAGTAGACAGTCACTGAAATCGACAACGCCTCGACTCTGGTTACCCCCTATTAGGTGCAAGCTTAGCCGAGCTATCGACAGGCTAGGTACCGCACTTCGGAAAGGCATACGCGTGCCGTGCTATCGATAAATGGTGGCTTGTGTTGTTTTTGAGCGATTGATCTAATTTTGCAAGCTGATTAGAGGACTCAGGTAGCCCGAGGTATTCAATAATGTTGTATCCATCTTCTCTGCTAATTAACACGCGAACACAATACGAAGATCTATACGAGGACCTAGACGAGGATCTGTGATCCTGACAGAGCGTCTTTGTTACCTGATGAGCTCTCAATAAGGAATGAGTTGGCAGATACAGATTTGCGAAAACCATGCTAATCTGATAACAAATCGAGACAGAAACCAACTTATTGACAAAGAAAAAGAAAACCCTTTTCCTTTGCTCCAAGAGAAAATATCCTCTCTCCGATCAAACTCCGTGACTTTGTTCACCTTTCCGAGGACAAGAGAATAAGGCCTTTCCCTTCCCCACCCCCGGAATCGACAGAAAGTCGGAACCTAACCCTCCACCTGGAACAGTAAGAACTAAATCCCCTGACGAGCCTTAACGGGATCCGGAGTCCCCCCAGCCTTTCTATTGGTCCACCAAGGCAAAGGGTAGTCATGAAAACGCAGCAAACAAATCGATGTCTTCAGGCTCTGACTCAGTAAAACCGACACAGGCTCTAGACACGGCACTGGTATTGTGGCGGGTGGGTTCTTTGATTTTCTGACTGTTGGTTGCTGGCCCAGCCGGCCGGCAGGAAACTCGATGGGGCTATTCCGAACGGCATTGAGTGGCGAGAAGTGTATCGGAAAGGCTTCCAGATTTTGCTAGTAGAGAATTAATCTTTATTGGATATTCCTGCTTTATTAAATCTTTTTTCCTCTGGATAAACCTCCACAGTCCATACATGGTCGAGCAGAAGGCAGAGAACGCACGGTAGTTAGATACCGATGGCCAGGCTCGATCAGGCACTAAAACAGATCAGGTCGATCATTCTCCACATCTAATCCCTAGTCAAAAGCTTGTTGTGCTCCCAGGTCGTCAAAAATTAAGACGACTCTATTGTACGGAACACGCACGTCCCGCTTCTTCTGCGCAGAGGCAGCTGCACCAACGTTGATCTGCAGTACCTACAGTAGGTCAAGTCACTAATAGAATTAGAGTTTACCAGATAGACCATTGGCTGGGTTGCTGTTCAGCGTCATTTATGCATAGGGTCTCGTATTGACGTATACTAATATCTTATATCAACCTGAAAGTAGGTTTGTGGTTGTAGCGTTTCCTGTAACGTCTTTCATTGCATCATGATGATAGTAATTCTGTCAGTCACTTAAAGGTTGGGATATACAATGCCTCAATCCTGCATGTATATCAAGACCACCATCCCTACTCTCCTTACAACTCTCAAGCCCTTTCATAAGAGTTAAATGCCCCCTAGACATCAAAACTCCCGATGACGTTTCCTCACCATTAAACCTCCACATCTCACAAAGGCGTCAAGCCGCGGCGGCATCAGCATCCCTCAAAAGCCAAAGCCACTTCTCTCCAAAGTTTACTTATTTCCAGGATAGGTGCTTGTAGCCACGCAAACTACCGCTGGACCCTGGTCCATAGGGCTGTTGGTTCACCAAGACCCTGGTAATTTGGTCAATATCGGCATCGTGTCACCCATGACAGACGAACCCTCGCACTGCATTGCGACCCGGTTGCTGGAAGCTAGCCCCGGACCCTTGATGTACCGGAGGACTGGGTATGGCAGATAGCTCTGTGTAATACAGTAGCATCCGACTGGGTCTCCAGCTCTAGGGCCTTGAAAGATGGATCGCGTGGTAGTTTCGCAACTGGATACCGATTGGTGACTTGATGACCTCGTGGTTATTGTTATTGAAAGCTTTGATTCAGCATCGGTTCATAGAAATCATCAAGGTATCATGTGGATATCTGCACCTTCGACTAGGTAGATATGAATGTGAACGCAAAAAAGATCATGAGAATCGCCAATAATAAAATCCCCGGATCTGCCGTTGTCAGATTTCTCCTAACCCCTTCGAACCATTTTTGCAGATGATCGTCAGGAGATGATCAACATGAGCAAACTTTAACGTGCGATCGACCAAGAAACGCCATGCCATGCCGCCCATTCTGAACCTGTCCAAATCATTTCCTGAATAACATTCCTCAATTTCAACGCCGATTCCGGACCTTTTTTTCTTCCATCGCAACGGCCTGCAAATGCATGTGTATTGAGCTTGTGCGCCCCCTTGTCATTCTGGTGCCCAAGCCTCCCGATCCCCATCTTTGTCCATCAAAGATATATCGGCTGTAGTATAAATCACTGGGCGCCTTCACGCTACTCACTTAGTGCCCGCGCTGGCTATCTTCGTCTTCCATAGCTTGAGCTCGGGTGCGAATTCGGAATTTATCCCTTAACCTTGCTGCAAATCGTGCGCTCTGGCCTCGAGATTCCCCATCGGAGGCTTCGACCACACTTGTTGTTTCTTGGTGGTCGCTCTCATTAGCTACCGCCCGCATTCGTCTCAACGCGTCCATCTGCTCTTCCACGGTTCCTTCTCGAAGGCGGTTAATATCAAATAGTCGAGATAGACGATTGCGATGCGATGACTGAGGCACATCATTCTCCGCACCCTCCTCCATTACCAAAGGCGGTGGCAGTGAACTGGAATCTTCAGCAGCCCCTTCCTCAGACGCAGCACCCTTGCCTGGTCGTAGATCATAGCGACTAGAAACATGTTAGTATAGGCCAGACGTCAGCCACCTTCTGGTGTTAATATTTCGACTCACCATAAAGGACACGTGCCGGACACATTAATCAACCATGGGTCGATACAAGCGGGATGAAACTGATGCTTGCAAGGCAGGACTCGAACATCTTCACCAACTTTGAAGTCCTCTGTGCAAATAGAGCATTGTTGGTCACTTGCGCCTTCACCGGCACCTTCGGGAGATGATGACGTTCTAGTTGCGGCTGACACGGCATCGGCACCACCGGCAACTGTCATGGTCGCATCATGCCGTCGGGTCTCGCTAAGACGCGATGCACTTCGCTGGGTTGCAGTATCATTTGCTTCCGTATTTTCCAGTTCCAATTCTGGATCTGGTTTTGCCGGCGTCTGGTTTCCGAATTTGACAATCGGGATCGTATCCAGCACAGCCCGAGCAAGTCCCTTGGCCCTGCTCTGTCTCGGTCTGCCACCAAGTGCACCCCGTGGCCCATATCTTTCGGGATACCGATGGGCTCTGACTGCGCCTGTTGTGATAATGGCCAGGAAAAGAAGGGTAATGAGACCGGTGATGGCGTACAAGACGCTCATAGCAGCGGTATTGTTGCCTCCTTTGCCCTCATCCTTCGGTAGCGTGTTATCCGTATTGTTGCCAAAGATGTTAGCATTGACAATTTTACCACTGCTGGTTCCATTCAATAGGTTCAGAGCCTGTGTGGCCTCGCCTCCGTCGGCCATAGATAAGATACTCGTGAATGGTAGATTGAAGGCGTCGCTGATTGAGCACCACGTACTCGACGTTGAATACAAAATAATCGCTTTGATGGGTGGTTTGTTCTGCATCAACGTGTTCAACATTTTATTGGGGCTGAGGAAGGAGTCGTCTTTAGGGTCGTCGCATGAGAGATAAGCCACCTCGTCTTTCTTGTTAACCTTATTGTAGTTGGATGAGTCTGTCGCAATCATAACACCATCAAAATCGACAATCTTTGAGTGAGTATTAGCATCATGATCAATCATGCGAAGCAACCCAGAGTGCACGCACTTTGATAACACGACCAGTCGTGTCATTCAGACCCAGATTTGGCGTGAGAGGAATAACAGCAAACTGCAATCCGGGATTTGCTGACAAGGACAGTTGCATGGCGTTGGCGGTGGCCCAGTCAGGCACTTCGGTTTCCGCCCATGTAGATATATCGCGGTCATCGGCATGAACGGTAGTCAATGTACAGGCGAGAATAGAGAGATATAGGGCCATCCTGCCCGGGCCAGGTATCGTTGGGGATTTCATGGCTGTGATTCGTATGTGATGTCAAAATAAGGAGTGGAATCGTTTGACGGTGTTTGTAGAGGACGATGAGGCTCAATACGCGAGCTGGGGTTTGTACGTTTCGTCTCGTCGGAGAATATGAATACGCAGGGATATGTCGGACGCGGTTGGACTCACGGCCATCTGACGATTAGATGGAGGAGCGAGACATGTCGATTTTAGAGAGCAAGAGTCGGATGTGAGACTCTGCAGCGCGTCGTATCGTTCTTTTCCCGGTAGATTTCGTCAATGAGTGGAGGATTATTTGAGACTGAACAAGTGAAGTTGGAAGAAGGAGAAATAGTCTAGGAAGATTAGTAGGATAGCATGGATGGAAGGAACCAAATCCGAGCCTGTTCATGATGGGGCAGGTTGCAGGTCAGGTGGATCCTACCCTCCTACCCCCAAGCTGGCGAGGGCGGAGGGGCCGGCAATTTCCAGCCACTAAGAGTGTAGTATTCGTATCGACCAAGACACTAATAGGTCACTATAAACTTGGCACTCATATAGTCGACGTCGTAGATACGAATTCGCTGACGTTGATCAGGTCACAAATACTGAATATTGAATACCGAATATTGCTTGTATTCACTGTTCTTGGTGTATCAATTGTCTCATTGCAAGGTACTCCTCTATCGAACAAAGTATATCCGTCTTTTCCGGAGATGCAAAACCATCTGTGTCAGCCAAGGTCTGGGCAGTCGCGTGAGGGGAAACTGATCTGATAGCTTGGTATTGTCTTGTACTGCATCCCGGCCAAACAGCACATGTCGAGCAAATAGTCCATCAGATGCCTCAATACCGAAACTCATTATCGAAAACTGCCCCGGTTACTGAAAATTGTTCTGATACCCAGCCAGGCACAGTCACTGATCTGCCCACCAACCTTCCTGTCCGACTCGGAAGCTCGTATGTGATTCAGCCAAGACTGGCGAGCCAGACACAGTCGAATTTTGATGAGCTTGAGAGAGATTGTGACCAGTACTTAGAGGCATGAAATGTCAAGCAGTGAAGGCAGAAGGCATACCATGGAACGATTCGACAACACTGGATTGTCCGCTTTCCATAGCGCCGCCTTCATGCCGAAGCTCATTCACCTGAGCTGATGAAACATCCTTGAAGTTATTGTCCCCGAGGTCTTTTCTATGTCTCGGTCTCACTTTCACCATCATCGTCGGTAAGACCATCAGCGTCAATCAGACTCTTCGGGTCAACGTCTTGGAAGTCCAAAAAACACAGCTCAAGTTCAGCATGAAGCTTGGTGATTCTAGCAGCCATTCACTATGACGGTACGAGACTAAAAGTTGTTGTTATCAATGGAAGTAGGACACTAATAATCTATACATGTCTGTCGACTGGTTCAAGAGACTTCGTGATCTTATGATGATGAGATAATGTCGAAGTTACAGATTACCGCCACAAGAGGTGCTACGATAAGTCCGTCTAAAGAGTCGACATTCAATTCCCGCCACCAATGAAACGGTCAGGTTCAACTTGCATAGCCGCTATATGGAAGTAGTAAAAAACCATTCAACTTTTATTACTACCTAGGTATTGGGTATTGAAGAGGCTGGCTCGCAACCTACAGTACCGTAATACATGTGATCCAAACGATGACATCAACCCCCAGGCTTCAGAGGATGTAGAATGCTCAGTTGATCATCACAGAAAGTCATGGCTATAGAGGGTGTGGTGCTGTTGATTCTACTGAACGTGTGTTGTCTCGCAAGAGGCTCAGGTAAACGCAAGGAACCGATGAATTGCAAGTTTATTGGGTTCATCATCACGGATGTACCACGTATTATCAGATTCGTACAACTCAACTAATTCATTGAATACTCTGTATCAGGGTAGGACTATCTGATAACTTATGGGGATATAGGATGAGAAGGGAATGTGGTGAGGCAGGAAAACTGTTGTACAGTATTCGGTCATATCTCACGGGTGAAAACGCATGTAGCCCAACTTGAGAATAAAAGATGCTGATAGAACCAGAAACAAGATGCTTGATTGACTGACTGTAAGACTTTGAAGACGGCATGTAAACTGACGGATCGTCAGGCATCATTGGGAGCTGTGATGCAAGACTTAGGCAGCCTTCTCACTATCGATAGCTTCAGACTTAAGGTTACACATAATGAAAATTATAGGTTCTTGTAACTAGTGCCAGATGATACTCAACAAATACGAGTATCTGAAGTAGTTGTCCATTTCTATCACGATGCCGTTAGTTCACCCATTTCCTGCAAGACACGACAATCAGAATCAACGACTCACAATCACAAATGTTATGGAGCTTCATGCTTGAGTCCTTTTCATATGTGCCTTCTTATTGTACAAGCATGGGTTGCTTCAGATGCTACTTCATACAAAATAAATTTGGCCCGTCGCTTGTTCAGTCTGATGAGCTGCTTGCGCACAACAAACATCGACCGCCACAGGTACCCCCATGCCTACACAGCACAAAGATTCAGGTAATACCCTGAGGGATGTTAACTTAGTGATTCAAGACAAGGGCTGGTCTTGATCGTCTGAACAGAGGTTCCCCTGGGTCTCATGGGTTGTTGTTGCAGTTTAGGTACAGATTGGAGCTCGCGTCACTGGAACAGTACAACGAAGAATTTGGGCTCCCCAAATACAGCATATAGATCTTACGTCGGAGGAACAAAGTCAAACATGAACCTTTAATGGATCAGGACTTCGGGTTTCACACAGAGCACTAAAAGTTTAGCTTGTGAAATTTGGGATTCATGGCTGGTTTGACGTTTTGGGGTTGGCATCATGACAATGCCTCTGATTCTGGAGCCTAACGATCCCAAGTCGACAGCGTCAAGCATGATTTGGATCCAGATTATTGGGATAGAACTTGTAAGATATGGACCATGTTCAGACCTCCCTATAGGTATACAAGGCCGTCTAGGTGTAAGGGACTTAACTACCCTACACCTCCAGACTCTCAACCGTTCCAAACATACAGTCTTCAGAACGCTTAGATCTCTTCCATATCCTCCAAGTCGTCAAGAGCAGGGAAGTCACCGACCTCAACCCGCTCCGGTCTCACAAAGACACCGTGCTTGAGATCCGAAGGCTCGCCCCAGTACCGAGTTCCAGCAATGCTGCCGTCATTCTTACCAACAGGCTCATCCAACTGAACACCGACCCAGCTTCCGAGACCGCCGGGAATCTCCTTGACTTCACCGACGTACTGGATGACACCCCGTCGAGTATCCTCACCGCCAACGCGACACCGGCGGCCTACAGCGATACCCCTCGCTGTCACCTCTCTGTTGAGGGCGTTGAGCTTGGCCTGCTCGTGACTGGGGGCATCTGGGTCGAAGCGGCCCAGCTTCTGAGCCTTCTTCCAAGCCAGGACCGAGTCGGACTTTTTCTCGTACTCTTCCTCGGGCATGACATACTTGTCGACGCCCGCGGTGTCGTTCAAGTTGATACGGGAGGCCGCAGGCCGTGTGTCAATTACCTGTTAGGTTGGGAAGAACCCTTGTCAGCCTTATCCAAAGCATTGGAGAGTAAGAAGGGTGTTTGGTGGCACCACGATGGGTCTGTGAGCTAAAAAGAGTGACGACGATCGTTGGGTTCCTCGATGGCAACAGCTCAACGTCCACCGCCTCTCCCGCTCGGCCCCCAGTCGCCACTTCCTAGAGTGCCAGCTCAGCAGCAGTGCCTTAGAAGCTGACGAAGGTTGGGCTCTGGACCTGGGAACCATGACGCCAGGCGGGCAGAGGATAATTGGCGGCGAATATAGGGCAAGAATGTGCTGGACTGGAGAGTAGAGTAGCAGCTGACAAATGAGAGGCTGCACAGCAAAGTGTTCTGACTTACATGAAGTTCTGCATATGGGGCCAGGGGAAAGTTGGACAGGTGGGTGTCATCCTCATCAGCCGCCTCAATGGCGATGGCCTCTGCGCCAGCCGTGGGCTTCAACGAGAGACGCTGACAGCCAGGTGGGACACCTGTGACTGTCTCAAGCTTGCCCTTGAGCTGAGAGATGGTCCATGAGGGAGTAATTCGGCGCTCCGACTGCGCAAACTCAGAGATGACAACAAGCGGGACGTCGGCCATGGCTGAGAAGTGAGTACTAAGGTAGGTAGGTAGCAAGGTGCTGTAGAGTAAAAATGGCGGGGGCGATAAATCGGTGTACTGTAAGTAGCTAAGGTACTGTACTCGGGCTGTACCTAAGCGGTCAGCGGATTAGGTTATTGCAAGACGCCTGCGCCGCATCGAAAGATAAAACCAGGCGCTGTAGTGCGCTGTACAGTGCAGTGTAGTGTGGATGTATGCAGGCAACAAAACGAAAGAAGCCCAAAGAAAGTCAAGAAAGTTAAGAAAAAAGTTACTCACCGATTGCACCAAAACGTGATATTCTTTCTGTCCTCTTCCTTTGACCTGTGCCTTTGCCTGTGTTTGGTTGAGAAACGATAAGACAGATCGAACTTGAGCGGGTGTGGTGGGGTTACGGTTATGCGGTCCAGGGTTCGAGAAACACCAACTAAGGGTAACTACCCAACTTGGAGAAAGTAGCAAGGAACAGGGACGGAAAAGGATAGAAAAAGAAAAAGAACAAAAAGCAATTCAAAGGCAGAGCAAACCCGAAAGATTAGACTAATTAATTACGCAAAAGAACAAAAACAAAGAAGCAATACCGGTCAGGCCCGAGATTCAGGGCTTACGCATTGCAACATCCGGGCTATCATCATATCTCACATATGAGGTGCTTGAGTCGCTTCACACTTGTTTTGTTGGCATGTTTGAATCTATCCGCCTACAGCACAGTATCAGAATAGTTACCTCTGTGCAGATCAAAGTGGGATAGTTCGTTCCATTTGTGAGGGTCTAGAATAAGGCGGGAAGCTCGTCAAAACGAACCGCTTTTACATGGGGACTGGGTCCAAGTTAACGTTAGTTGACAAACCCTACCTCTCTACCACTACTGAGCTATCAAGTACCGAGTGTACAGGTAGTAATTACTCTAGTGCGAACCTGATTACCCGCATACATAATACCCTGCCTCTAAATTCCTAGCTCTCCAGTTAATCTCCAGTCTTTTGTGACTATGATAGGTTGAGCGGAGTTATCGAGCGTCTAAACAAAAGCAACTACTGTACCGCAACGAACACCTGAACCTCGGCCAACTCGGAAGGTTTGCAGAGTATCAAATTACCCAGGCCCAGGCATGAAGTTTGAGATCCATAAAAAGCACTCATATAACTTCAAATTTGGTATGCAGCTCATCAGTTGCCACGAGGAAAAGCAACCATTGTTCGTATGCGCCGCTCTTGGCCATAGACCAGTCGTTCTTCAGCCGACAGGATTCATGTTTGTTCCAGCCATCTACTCAGATCATCAAGAAAACCTGGATCATGGGTCCTCCTGAAACCAACCTCTCTAGCTTGTGAAGCATCGAGTCCCCTGTGCACCTGGATGTCATGTTGCAAGATCGCCCGAGGACCCTAGTTTCAGAACTATCGGCTATATGGATCTGAGATATGCATAGTTTGTTGTAGATAGGTGCTCAATATTAAATTTAGCCATGATCTGATCGATGTATGCCATCGGGACAAACTACAGACACACCTTCAACTGTTCGGGTCCATGTCAACCGGCTTAGCCCCCAAGGGCAGCCAACTGCATCTTTGGGCGATTAATATAGTCAAAGCGTTTCCGTCCTCTTCCGTGGAGGCATGAGCCATATCGAGTCAGTGAGTGCTGCACCTCCTCCAGTCTTGTGCTGTTGATGTCAACCGGACCGGCCAGGCTCTCTAAGCAGTTGGTCCAGATAACGTGTGTTAAGTCGCGCTCTGTTACGTCCGCTCGATATCACCGATAGAAGTTCTTATGCCGGTCGCTGAGAACGTTCTGAATGCAGGATAAACGCTGAGTTGGATACAGCATGTGCCTTGCGGAACTGGTATCTGCATCCGTGGTGCATAGATGCCCGGCCTCCGCCGCTGCAACTTCACTCAACCCGGGTCTGCACCTTTCATTCCACGGACCTGATGTAACTCCTCTGCATGGATTATCCCTATAAACGCTGTGGACAAGTCTTCCAGCTGTACCAATTGATGGGCGAGTAAGAATGTTTCGAAGTCGGATGAGTTTGCGGCTGAAGGTCGTCGGGAGAACGTGGGTAGTTAGCTGGTAGTAGTTGATCCCGGCCGGCTGTTGCGAATCCCGGTCTACTTTTCGATATGCAGATCTTGGACCCTTGTCCACTACTATGTACCAGTAGCATCCGTATGAAGAAAACCAGGTGATGAGCAGAAGCGAGTTGAACGTGAGCACTTGCTTTACCACCCATAGAGCTGAGCTGTAATAGTCTGATGGACTTGCAGGCAATCCAAGCTCGAATGCCGTGTTTTGTTATTTTATCAATGCATTTTCATGTGATCTCCACAGATTAAGCTTGCTCTTACGTAGTAAAACAACCGATGACTGTCCGAAGAACCCTTGCGCTTTGTATGAGTGCTTTGATTAACAATCATAGGGCTGACAGTGTTCGAATGGACAAACATGGTATCGAGCCCGTCACTACAGAGATAGGTGTTGGTACTCTGTGAGCTGCGCTAGGATCTGAATTCGCACCGAGACTTCATGCAAGGAGTCGTGCTGCTGTGCAAACAGTTGGGGGTTCGGCGGGATGAAACGCTTTAACTCTGACGTCTATTCCATGGGTACCCCCATGACACGTCACATACCACCCTCCAAGGGGTTCGCAGCCGATGATTCCCAAACCCAGTGGCTAAACTTGGATTTCTTTTCTTTTTATTCTTTCTATCTTTGCTGGCATCCTCGCAACATCTTGACTGTTCGTCCAATTGCTAGATTGCCTCATCTAATCCGACCCGCCAGACCCGGTTTCCAATCTGGATAATATAGACAAATACTACATTGTCCTGCCACCCCGGGACTTGGCGTATCGAGAAGAGAGAGACGCCATCGAGCGCGAGGCGGCTGGCTGTAGCATCGAATTACTCACCACGTAGTAGAGTCGCATTGATAGTCAGACAAGGGTTTGTGGAGTATTTGCCAATTCTTCCTCAGATGGTTCTATCTTCTGACGTAAAGCAAGGTTTTGTTTGATCAAGTCTTAACTGAGAAACTGTTCCTGCTTTCGTCGGTATGTGATAAGTACTATGTATGATACGTTCACCGCTGTCGAGGTGGGAAGTCGTGTAAGCCGTCAGAGCGGGGGTTGGGCCAGGAAGCTCCAAGTTCAATATGGACCGGCGTCTAACAACTCATCTTGATAACGAGTAGTTGCAAGTTTCCGATCTATGGAGCGTCTGTTTTGAAACACCCTGATCGGCTGGTAATGTACCGTACCTACCGTAGTCGCCCAGCTTGGCCAATCCTCTCGTGTGTTTGGCATGGAGTGTGCATATCGTAGCAATATTCTAGACTGCGGTTTCTGCCTATCATCTAGCGACACTCGGTATCTAGTCGTGGAATCTCCACACGCTCGGTTCAGCAAGCCAAGTGAATGACGCGCACAGAATAGCATGGATGAGCTGATTGAGCTGTCTGCCATAATTGCGATTGCGTGGGTAGTTGACCTCAAACGGCGTGCAATTGTAGCATAATCATCGCAATTTTCCCTGAGCTTGTTTGTAAGCATCGGGACGACAAAACGGTTTCAGAGATAACTCTAAGGTTTATGACGTATCCCCGAGTTTGCCGGCTTGTTGTCTGCCTCTAGTTCTCCGCTAGTAGAAGTTGGTAGCGTATTATGCATGAGACCCTTCAAAACGTTCGGGCCAGACAAGTCTTGGCAATAAGCTGGCCCACTGGTAGGCTGGATGACGGCTGGAGGGAAGACATACACATACGCCGCAGCTCACTTGACACGCGATTTCGTCCTTGGTTCGCCCTTGGTTCGTCCTGTGTGGACTTAGGGCCTGTCTGAGCGAAATCCAATACCACATCCATGAACCTCTGGTGGTGTATGGTAGAGATTGGGCGGACTAGCGTGACCTAAAGCCCACCGCCAGCCAGTCCCTTCAAACTTGCTCGAAGGTATTCTGAATATCTGATCGTCGAAAAATAGCTCGACAAGTTGCGTTGCGGTGAGAAAATAGGTGCGAAGAAGTGACTCGACGAGATAAACAGACATCGTCGTGTCTCTGTTCAGGCACCAACGCCTACACTCGAATGTAGATGATTCGTACCAAGGAAACCATAGCCACACTGGTCGTGTTTCAACCAATCTCTTGTATAATGTCACCTGCCATCATAACTTGCAGCTGATGAGATTATACGTTGCTGCCATACTTCTCGTGTTGGGAAACGGTTAGGATCACTCATGCCTGCCCAAAGGCCAAAATCCTGGACTGCAGATCTAGTTCGTCTCTCCACATCATCCTTGCAGAACATATATGCAAAGAGTTGGAAGTAATACTTCGACGACAGAACAATCGCCTAGCCAAAGAGAGGCGGAACCATGCCGAGCAACCTGCAAAAGGTAGCATGAGTAGGAAAATTCTTCATCGAGGTGGAGAGGCAGCGTGGCGGTCACGGCGTCCATCAAGCCTTGAGGTGGAAACCATCCTTGCCGGAAGCTTTCTGGCTGCGGGCAGGAGACGACGTGGCACTCTCAGAAAGGCTCGGTACCTAAGCCCTACTATAGGAGGCAGACTTATTATTGCCCGTGATAGAAACATCCAGTTTATCAAGCATTGCAGAAAGACAATGGGGACAATGGCGATATCCGATCTGAGGGCCTGCGGGGCAGTAGTTCGTTGCTGTTGCATCATTAGCCACTAGCAACGTCTCCCGTGTGTAACGCCATCTTTGACCTGAACATCGTCCGGTTTCTCCACCCTTAACGTGCAGCGCAGTTCAAGGTGAACCTCCAAACTTTCTAGATTGAGCACGAAGAGCAACACCTCCAAGCAGGATGATGTTGATCAAGCTTATAGTGGCGGGCCTCAAGCAGCCGATAATTTGAGGCTGGCTTGTTTCCTCCGAGAATGCCCAAAGCTCTTGGCCACCCCAATATTTCTTGTTTCAACTACTGCCGTGGTTCGATATTCAGTAATCTTTGTTGTCTTTACACGCATGTATGC